TAGTTGTTAAGCATCTGCCTTCAGCTCAGGCCATGATCTCAGGGTCCTGAGATCGAGTCTTGCATCAGGCTCCTGTTCAATAGGGAGTCTGTCTCTCCATCTGCCCTCTCCCGCATTCTCCCTCTCTCTCAAATAAATAAATAAAACCTCTTAAAGAAAAAGATTGTTGAATGGATTAAAAATAAAAAGATCAAGTTTATGAGAATATTTTGTACCACCTAACTAAGGTACTATGCAAATATATTCTCTCCCCTCCAAGTAGGTTATCACTCACCCTACTTGGCAGGCAAGAGAACCAAGGAAGAAGTAGCATGATTTTCCCAACATCACACAAATTGATGAGGATAGGAACAGAAACCAGTTTTGGGGCCCCTCAGACTAGCCTCTTTTCACTAGAAGTCTGTCCACATGGCGGTGTGGCAGAAATGTACAGATGTTGATACACCAGAGCGTGTAAACATGTAAACACCACACCTTACACCTGCACTCTACTGTCCTTGACTGCGCCCAGCTTTGGCAGGCTGCCCAGCGCACTTTTCAGAGCTAAGCTCCCTCTCTGAATTGTGACATTCAAAGTTGGCTGGTCTCTCCCAGCCAGTGGGGCTCTCCAGTAGCTCTCCAAATCTCCTGTTACTTCTGAAGTTTGCATCTGTTTCTCTTAATGGTGCTTCTGCAACAGCTTTTCAGCCTGCCTCCTGCCCGCTTTGAGTAGTCTCTAATGGTTGAGTGTTCCACAGCCACAATGATGGTGACATTCTCCCAATTTGATCCTCACAGGAAAATACAAATTTTATCCTAATTTTAGAGTGAGGTCACTGAGGCTCAGAGATGAAACGACTCCTATGAATTAGTTACAGCTGAACCAATAACCATCTTCAAAATCTTAGCTCTGTACCTGTCTACCTTTGCAGTGGGTTGCAGTGGGTTACTCTGTGATGACGTGCAGTTCAATTTAAGTCCCTGTGGATTTGAGGGTTAGAGACCCCACTCCCCCACCTCCCTGCAAGAGAAAGGGCTTATTTTTATTTTTAAAAACGTGTGGACTGAACTACCCCTAGAACAGAAAAAGTGGGTTCAAAGCAAACTTAAGGACTGGATACCCTCTCCATTTTTGAAACCAAACATGGTCTCTCTAATGGTGGGCTTTCCCTGCTTTCAAAGAGCTTCTGCTCCGCCAGAATTCTGCATTGCGCGTGGCCATTGCTGGTTGCCTTTGGCTCACTATGTTTCTCCATTCATACCCTCAAATCCGGAGATTTGATTTGGTCCCTGCATTTTCCTGGGCCAAACCATATTGTGTGTCACCAAGCAGCCTATGGTCCCAATAGCATGGGGTCAGGTGCCAGCCCAGGTCCAATTAACTGGGGGCGAAGGGGAGAGTCACTGTGAGAGGTCTTGCCAGCCGTGGGGCCATAGAGGGGGTTCTCTGCCATAGTGTGTAGGCAAGGACAGCGCTCTCCAGCTTGACCCAGCCATCATGGGCCTCTTCCACTACCTAAACTTTCAAATGTCTGACTTACTATAAGATGAGTAGGAGGCCAAATGATTCTATGCAGTTGAGGGAAGTACACCTTGCTTTATATTCAGGAAGAACAAAAGTATATGAGTCATATATTTCTACCTTATATTTTGATTGCACCAGCTGTTCTGTTTTAAAAGACAGCCCTTTTCCCTTGATTGTGATGGTTTCACAGGTATATACTTATCTTCAAAGTTACAGCTCATTAAGCTCTATATGTTAAATATGTATAGCTTTTTGTATGTCAAGCACATCTCAATGAAGGGATTTTAACAATGCCAATTATCGCTAAAAATGAAGTTACACAAGCAGAGGAAGTAATGACCTAAAACAGCCCAAAGCAAGCACCAGTGTGGTAAGGGTATGTGTGCTGGAGTGCAAGACAAGCAGGGATGGCTTCTCTGGCCTTTACAACTTACCTTGGGGCAGGGGTGGGGTGGGGAGGGCAGCCCTTTCAAAGATTATCTTTTTTTTTTTTTTAAGATTTTATTTATTTATTTGACAGACAGAAATCACAAGAAGGCAGAGAGAGAGAGAGAGGAGGAAGCAGGCTCTCTGCTGAGCAGAGAGCCCGATGTGGGCTTGATCCCAGGACCCCGGGAACATGACCTGAGCCGAAGGCAGTGGCTTTAACCCACTGAGCCACCCAGGTGCCCCAAAGATTATCTCTCTTATATAAAGGAAATAATCAGCACCTTTTTTTTTAATGATTTTATTTATTTATTTGAGAGAGAGAGAGAGAGAGAGAGAGAGAGCGCGCGCGAGAGAGCGAGAGCATGAGAGGAGAGAAATCAGTGGGAGAAGCAGACTCCCCGCCGAGCAGGGAGTCCGATGTGGGACTCGATCCCAGGACTCCAGGATCATGACCCGAGCCGAAGGCAGTTGCTTAACCAACTGAGCCACCCAGGCACCCCCCAATCAGCACCTTTTCCTCTCTCTTTTTAAAAAGATTTTTATTATTTATTTATTTATTTATCTGATAGAAAGAGAGACACACAGTGAGAGAGGGAACACAAGCAAGGGCAGTGGGAGAGGGAGAAGCAGATTTCCTGCTGAGCAGGGAGCCTGATACATGGCTCGATCCCAGGACCCTGGCATCATGACCTGAGCCAAAGGCAGACACACGCTTAATGACTGAGCCACCCAGGTGCCCCACTTTGGATCTTTTATACAGGGATGTCTGTAATCCAAAGATCATCTATGGTTCACTTAGGAACATATTATTCAATTTTTTAACATGTCTTCTTAAATGTGTTTTGCTTGTGTCAACATTGAAACTCATCCTCATTCCTAGAGCACACCCCAGCTGGCTGGCTGTGGTTGAGGGAGGTAGACTGGGAGTCTATGAATTTCAAGAGGTTTTATTTACACACACACACACATACACACACAATCACACACGCATTCCTGGAAGAGTAAATTAATAAATTTATTTATTATATTAGTATTATTAATACTAATACTAATATTATTTATTTATATTAGTATTGTTAATAATTAATCAATTTAACAAATTGTTGCTGAGCACCCGATACACATTGCTGGGGGAGGCAATGGTGGTAACGGAGTTCAGATTATTAAGAAAACATGACTTTTGCTCTTCCCAGTGGTGAAATTAGATCAAGTCCCAGACCTCTATATATTCTAAGTATTAAATCGGCAGGAAGGAATGTTGGTCATCTTCACACACTTTCTTCCCACATGTATAATACAGTGTGGAATAGTGTTTTCTGGGGCGCCTGGGTAGCTCAGTGGGTTAAAGCCTCTGCCTTTGGCTTAGGTCATGATTTCAGGGTTGTTGGGATTGAGCCCCGCATCGGGCTCTCTGCTCAGCAGGGAGCCTGCTTCCTCCTCTCTCTCTACCTGCCTCTCTGCCTACTTGTGATCTCTGTCTGTCAAATACATAAATAAAATCTTAAAAAAAAAAGAATAGTGTTTTCTACACGGGTATCATGAGTACTGAATGAAAAAACAGGAAAACGTCTTCAGATTGGACACGTGAACCTCTGCAAGCAGAATTTAAATTTACAACTCTGGCCACGTACGTGCTGCTTCTAGAGGAATTGCTATTTTATTTATACAGAACTGTCTAAAACTGATAGCTAAATATTAAGCTAACCCCCCCCACTCAAGAACCTAGATCAAAAGGCTTGAATGGTATGCCCCACTTAGAGCAAATTAAAAAAAAAAAAATTTGTTTAGTGGGGTGCCTGGGTGACACCTCAAGTTTGTTTTTAATCGTTAAAAAGTAAGCACACTCCAGAATTTGGAAATCCAGACTAGCAAAGCTGATACACCAGGTGGCCGGGGGACTTGGTGGTGAATTCACCATGCGCGACCCGCGTGTGATACTGAACCCCCATAAGCTGTAGGCCGGGAAGTTTGGTGCAGAGACCACTGACCCGGCAAGGGGCTCATCCTCTTTGTAGCAGAAATGTTATGTCCTTGTCTCCAGGAAGTGTTGGGTAAAGGGTGCTTCAACGAGCCACTAAGTGTCATCGGCAGACCTCCGTAGACCTCGGTCTGCAGAAACCAGCTAGTAGGTAAATTAGCGCTTATCCAGCATTGAGAAGTGGCTAGAAAGAAGGAATGTTTAAGCCAAATGAAACTCAAAAAGATAACATTTTATTTTCAGAGCAGCTGATGCAGTATCGAATCAGGTTTTCACATATAAATAGGACAGTGTCTATTTGGTTACATCTCTGTTTGATGAATGCCTAGCTATAGGAACTGTAATAAATTTCTGAGAAGGCTAATGCCTGGAAACTTTTAAGTAAAATTCTTCTGGCTCTCTTTCTGAAAAAAGGATTGTGAGAACTTAAAAAAAATGCTCTTCACTCAGGAGGAGAACCAATCTAGAATGCCTCATTTTAGTTTTGAAGGAACGCACCTTTTTAGGACAAGTCTATAAAACATCTTTATTTGTTTGTTACATATGATGTTTAAATATAACTTTGCTTTCAAGCTTCAAACTTTTTTTTTTTTTTAAACCCCTGGTAAAATAAGACTTTTGGTTCACCTTAACAAAAACTGACCTAGGAAGAAACATTTTTAGCAAAATGTATTATAAAATTCACTAGAAAATACTGTCCTCTTTTTGCCAAAATGTTACATAAAATCCTTATTAAAAATACACACGTTACAAAAGAAAAAATTATGAAGATGCTAATACATAGTGCTTTGGATACGGACCAAAGGACCTGCATTCCGGGAAAAATACAGTTAAGTACACTAAATATTATGATGTCAACTTATAATAGTGCAAACCTGAATAAATTACATCCTGAAATGAGAAGGCATGCAAGTCATTTGCTGAGAATAGAACATAACGAAGCCAGAACAGGAAGCAATCACAACACTATTTAAAAATGTTTTCGTTTTTATTACATTAATTTTTTTCAAAAATACTTTTCTTTACAATAGAACTCCTAGAAAATATTTACAACCTTCCTCTAATAAAATATAACAGCAGTTAAATATATTTGAAAATAAGATGGGTTTTTCCATAAAATATATCTGTTAACTTTTTATATACAAGCTTTCTCAAAGAGGTCTAAATTCACTAATGAAAAACCATCTGATAGTAAACAGTAACGGTGTTGAAGACATTAATCTTTAGGAAGAGAAGTTCTTTGGGGTGGGAAGGGCGAGGGAAGCAAAAACACAACACATACATGCAGGCAGAATCATTTCAGAAGGAAAATAAGTGCAATATTTTACCGTGAAGTCAATTCTTTAAGTTGATATTGTCAAGAAATACTACTTCAGGAATTTGAACTGTCTCATTAAGGAGGAGTTCTTTGGTTATTTCAAGTCAAAGATGCTTACATTATACTGCATGAAAAATCAAAATTAAATTGTGCATTACATTTTTTGCCTTGGCAACTCAGTTTATTTTTAATGTTTAAAACTGGAACGGCTGGGCAAGTCTCCAAACACAACAAGGACATTTGCTTTATAAACATGTTTCTGGGTGTTTGCTCCTTTGATAGATAAGCTTTCATAGACCCTATAGCAGAACCATTCCAGAATCACTCTCAGAAGCCGGCACATGCCGAGGGAAGCAGTCACCGGGACAGCCGCAATCAGCTGATCTTACGGAATGGTTCTGGAACAATTCTGCCACAAAGTTGATGCACACAGCTTGGGCAGTTTTAACTCGAAATAGAAGGGAGAATAACCTGTCTAGAATGGCAGCAAATAAAACCTTTCTTTTTGCCTGTAGGAAAGGATGAATGAAACCCCTAAGGCCTTTTTTTCTGAAAACGCAAAGACGGAAACGAAAAGAACCTTTACATTTATCTTCTGACCGTGGCTTTCCTGAGATTCAGAGAACACTGCCTAGGCGGGGCCGTGAGGGAAAGCGAGCGTGTGCTAAAATGCTTCTGCTGGAGTCAAACTTAAAAGATGCTCAGGTCCTGTCCTCATGTTTGGCTGACCTTCTAATGTCAAGCAATTAACTAATGTGCCAGCGGAGTCTTCTGGGACAGGCCACACCTACACAAGCTCGGGGAGCCAGCCTCCCTGGGGTGGGGCAAGGCCTGAAAGCCCTCCTTCCAGAAGTCAGGCAGCATTAACGCTCCAGGGGAGGACGCTGGGGGCAGTCCTCTCTGCTGGGCTGCGTCCCAGTCTGAAGACACGTGCTCATTTGCCCTGCCCAGGGAGGGGGCAGTCTGACTCAGATCAAAAGCCTGAGCTAAATGCCATTTTTGAAGGATTATAGGCTTATTACCTTCAAGTACAAACAGCAACCCTGCTAAGGAGACAGGAGGAAGCAGAGTTCTGTAGCTTGGAGAATTCTAGAAATGCTTTGGTAAATGACTTGAACGAATACATTCCTTGTTTGAATGCAAATATTGGTGGCTAAAGTGGTACCAGAAACCATTATTGTTGGCCTTTAATGCTATTTCACTTGTATTTGCTGTTAAATTGGTTAGGAAACAGTCCAGCAAAGGTGAATGACAGCAGAATCCCAGCGAATGAGGTTTCACAGTACTTCCAAGGGACACAAAGTAATTCCAGAACTCCATGGACCATTAAACAGTGCTGCAAAAAAGAATGGGCTCTTCCAGTCTAGTTTCTGGGCAAAAGAACACTTCTCAGTGTTCCAGAACATGTGACACTCAACCACTTTCCCTAAACAGCCCTGGCAACTTCATGGTTGGGGTTGTTTTCCTCTAGACAGCTCAAACAGAGACACGGCTCTGCCAATTCACAAATCGGAACCAACCAGTTCCCGGGGGGCGGTGAGGGGGGGGGAGCACAGGAGAGGATGATGTACTCGCTCTAGGGACCAGGTCCTCAGTAAAGCCTGGCCTTGGAGTGAAAGCCTGAAATTGTACAGTACTCCTGGAAACAGGCCAACGAGGCTAGCTGAGGCAGGGAGAAAACTTATTTTCACATTTGGTCGACTTTTCAAATGGTGTATGTGCTAGGGGAAAGCCGTGTAAGAGGAGGGCTTGCTTTGCTCACTGTAAAGTTACCCCTTAGCACAGAATCTCCTGCTAGAGACTCTGGGTTTGCTGCAAACTCCAGAATGAGGTCAGAACAGAACAAAAATAACTCCTAGTGGGAAAGGATGGCCCAAGGCCCCAACATGAAGAGGGGAGCCTGCTCCACACACGCACACGCATCCACACGCTCACGGCAAGCTTTGGGATCAAAGGCAGCAAGGATGGTTGACATCTGAAAGCAAAAGAACATTGAAGGTCAGGTTTATTCCCTGCCAGGAATGAGTTCGTGGGAATGCAGCCCAGATGAAACACCTCTTAAATAGAGTTGTGCCAATTATTTATTCCCTCCAACCTCCCACAGAAACATTGATTTTTTTTAAATAAAAGGAAAAGAAACTGAAAAAAAAAATTTTTTTTCCCTAAACCTGAATGAAACGACCACTTCTTTAAACAGGTAGTTTAAAATGGTTACAAAACGAGCAGGGAGTCCAGGTTTCCTGATTAACGAAGACGGAGGCCGTGGGTGTTGGCTGTCTCTGCGTGACAAGTGGGCCTTTATAGTTCGGCATCACCCTGAAGTAAAACCGAATCTTGGTCGTCCAAGAGGAGATCCGTGTCCACCACCTCGGCCTCTTCCATGACGCCTCCCAACTGCTGGACCACGTCGCCATCGAGGATGTCCACGTCCTTGATGGGTTTGATCAGACTCAGCTGGTCCAGGGGCAGCAGCCCCGGTGCCCCTGCGGGCCCCGTAGTCCTCTCGATGGTGGCGGCCATTTCGGCGGCAAAAGCTGCCTTCTGAGCCTTTTGCCTCTGCTGTTCCTCCTGCTGCCTGTGTGTTTTCATGTGTGCATTTCGGCTTTTGATCTTGAAGAAGACTCTAAAATTGAAGAAAAAGCAGCATGTGAAATTTAGGGGATCTAAGTTCTTGGAAATCTGGATGCCCAACAGGGAATAGGTGCTTCGTGGTCTAACATCTGGTTTGGGTGGCATGGAGAGAGTCTCTGGGTCACCTAGGACCTCCTGCCCCTGTTGCTTCTCCTCGCTAAGCATTACAAAGAAAAGGAGGTGGGCATGGGAGCACATGTACAGTGCGTTAGGCTTCCTCCCTGGGACAATGGAGGATGGATTCTCAAAGGCCTTCCTGTCCATCTGTGGTCTGCAGCATGTGCCTTTCTCTCCCTTTAGCCTTCCCCACCCCCGTCTCCTCATCACAACCGGAGAATCCCTCAGTCATGCTGCTGAGCTCTCACAGTTCCCATAATAAAGCCCATCATCTGCCTTTGGCTTCTGTCCCTGTTCCTCCATAGTCAAATTTCTGGAAGGCTCTGCCCGATCCTTCACACTTGGTATCTTCCTCTCTCCTTCACCCTCTCCAACTGGATTCTTGTCTCCTCCACTGCAGCCCCACCCCTCTTCTCAAGGTCACCACTCTGTGTGGCCAAACCCAATGCCCCCCCAATTCCATCTTCATTGTACTTGACTTCTGAGCTATACCCACCACTCCTTTTCACCTAAGGCCCCTTCTCGTTGGCCACCATATTGTCATAATTTCCTCCTTTTAGCTTTAGAAGGAAATAGTAGTTCTCAGCTGCGGGTGATTCTGCCTTCCCAGAGACACCCCGTGATGTGTGGAGTCATTTTTGACTGTCACAACTCGAGGGGAGGATGGTATTTCTCGCATCCAGTAGGCAGAGGTCAGGGTGGTCTCCATAACCCATTGCGTGGACGGTGGACTGATCAGACCCAAATGTCACTGCTGAGGTTGAGAAACTTTGAGACAAGGGGCCTGCAAACTACAGTCAATGGACCAAATCCAGCCTACTGAATTTTCGTAAGTAAAGTTTTATTGCAACCCAGCCATGTCTATTTGTTTACGGACCATCTGTGTCTGCTCTGCTTAGCAATGGTACCACTGAAAGTTGTGACACGGACAGTATGAGCCACAAAGCCTGAAATATTTCTCTCTGAACCTTTTTCAGAAGCCATTTGCCCAGATGTGAGGCTGCCTCTTTTGGGAGAGGGGGTGGCACAGATACCCTGCATTCATTCCTGAGCTCATAAAGGGAAATGGAAAAAAAAAAACCTCTGATTTCTAAGACAAGCAGAGTTGATGAATCACAATTGCACATATTGAAACCGTTTCATGTAATGAACATAATTTCAGCAGCTAAAACAGGCATTCTGCAAACATTTGCCTGTTATTCCTACTCCGGAAAACCACAGAAAATATTTCTATTTTCCACAAAATCTTAACTGGAGTTATGGTATTAAAAGGTCCCAAGCAACATCAAAACAAGACAAGAAAAACACTTAATGGGTGTCACTGAGAGACAGCCAGCGAGCTCAAGATGCTAATTCTGGTTTGTTAAAATGTTCTTTGTCTCCACCTGCTGGAACAAGGAGTTGTAGCCTGTGTGTCCCAAAGTGAGCAGGAGGTGGTGTTGGCTCCTCTCAGGGGACAGGTGGGAGATAGAGCGAGTCAGTCTGAAGACGGTTCCTTACTTCAAGTCCGGAAGCCTAATGATCCATCTGGAGGCTCACGTCTCCGTGGTAAGATGAAGGGAGGAATACCTTGTCCTGGCTCTGAGGGGTATGAGAACACAGGGGAGCTGCACTAAAGGCATCTCCTCCATCGCTGTGTTTCACAGAGAGAAGACTGCTGCTAATTCCATCTCACCTTGGCGAGAGCCACCAGACGGAGTTAGGTTCACTCAGAGGCTGAGAGCGCTGGCCTGGGTCAGGCTGCGTAGCCTGAATCCCAACTCAGATGTGCACTGTGACCAACACCTTACTCTTTCTGTGCCGCATTTTCTCGGCTTGTCCAAAAGCGCCTACTAAAAGGGTCTACCCTGGGGTGCCTGGGTGGCTCAGTGGGTTAAAGCCTGCCTTCGGCTCAGGTCATGATTCCAGGGTCCTGGGAACGAGCCCCGCATCGGGCTCTCTGCTCGGCGGGGAGCCTGCTTCCCTTCCTCTCCCTCTGCCTGCCTCTCTGCCTACTTGTGATCTCTCTTTGTCAAATAAATAAATAAAATCTTAAAAAATAAATAAATAAAAGGGCCTACCCTGTGGCACTAAAGATTAAATTAATCAATACCTGTACGAATCCGTTAGAACTGTGCCAGCAAACAGTACCCTACAAATGGCAGGTACTGGTAAGTTGTCGGAAATAGCCTAATGAGTATCACAGGCAGAGGTCCTAGTGGGCCTCACTCATACAACTAGGGACGCTCAAGGAAGTCACTCACGACAACCCCTCCAAGTCAGGTGGCCTCACTGAGACGTGGAGTTCTACCCTGGATGGTGTGGGAGGGAAGGCTGTGTGTCTTACCATCCCTGATCTTTTTTACCTAAAATAAACAGACCGATAAGATGGAGCAGTGGTCAGGGTCCTGGGCTCTGCACTTTGACAGAGACGGGCCCAAATCTCAGCTCTGCTCTCAAGAGGGGTGTAACCAGAGGCAAGTTATTTTACTTGATTTTCAATCTTTATTTGTGTAACAAGGATAAAAACGGTCTCTGTACCACATGGAGTTTCTGTGTGAGGATTAAAATGAGCTCCTGCACATAAGGTAGTTCCCAAAGTGAGTGCTCAGCAAGTGTTAGATGTTACTAGTACTGCCTGCTGTCGGTTTTCCTCTCTGAGCGGTCTTCAGTTTTACTTAAAAGGGCAGGCATGACAAACAGGCTTTTTCTCCTGAGTCATCCTGATCAATTGGTTATGCCTGCTTGAAGCATTGGGGTGGAAAAGATCTGAGGTCCTGTCTTAAGATGACAGCGAAGAGTGCAGCAATCGGCTAGTGATGTCTGCCCCGGACACAGGAAGGAGCCTGCAGTGAGAGGATACTTCCTGATACATGTTTCAGAGCCATTCCCAAATCACTCAGAAGGAATGCAAAGAGAGCCACACTCGTGAATATGGTTTGGGTGTGAAGGGATGGAGTGGGAATCAGAGTCCCACCCACCGTTTCTGAAAAAGAGGGAAGTTTTTGTTACTAGAGGTTTGCCCTGAAGTTGTCTGGCCTTATTAGGCATGAGGATATCAGAATGACCATATTCTGAGTCAGAGACAAGGTCCACCCACCCTGAGGCTCTGTGCAGGCCACAAGGATGATATGAGGGAGTATTTGGAAATACTGGGTTCTTTTTTTGGCTGAAGAAACCTCAGACCATCTTGGCCAGGCCTCCACAGAGCACTTATTCATCACAGACTCAGATTTGGTCCCCAGTCCAACTGCACGTACTTGCCACATTCCTTGCAGGGGAAGATGGTGGTGGGGTCTGTCTCGCCGCTGGTGGTGCTGTGAGAGGGGGAGCTCTTCACTGAGCAGTACCCGCTCTGGGCACTGCCGGGCTTCTGCTTCCCAGAGGGGATGGCCCCCCGGGCTTTGGTCACCTGGTTGGTGCCACCGTGGATGCGGGCGTGGCCATTCAGTGCCTGTCGGGAGCTGAACACCTGGGGAAGAAAGGGAGTGACATGACATCTACAGTCCTGAAAAGGAAATTAGGGTTATTAGTTACTCAATGGTGAAACATGTGATACTTGAAACAGTGTTTAATGATGGGGTGCGGGGGTTTTACGTAAGCAAACTTTGGACACGGGCACGAAAAGGTCAAGGTCAAATACTACCACCACTAACACTGTGCCCATAAAAAAAACCACATTGTTGTTACAACTGGAAGACAAGAAGCACTGTGGCTGAGTCTGAAGGACAAAGCTGCCGTCTAGCAGTCAGGGGCCTGGGGGGCGAGATCCAGCATCTCTGTGTCATAGGGAGGGCTGCTGGGCCATTTCCCCTCTGTACACCCGATTTTTTTTTTCCATCTGTAAGATGAGGGAGTTGACCAGCTTCCAAACTCTTTTTTTTTTTTAAAGTTGGAAATTACCTCCCTCTCCTCCCCTCCCCTTTTCTCCTTCTCTTTCCTGTCTTTCTTTTACTTTAAGAAAAACAAAACAAAACAAATCAGGTTTTGTGCAAATGCTCAAAGTTAAAAGCAGAGGTGTTCTGGCTGAAATAGAGCCAGCACCCCGGGAAGTGGGCCTACTTGCTCAGCTCTATCTCCCTACCACGGAAAGCCCCAGCACCCCAAGAAACACAGGTGGAAAGACACTGATTAGCGGCTCTGATAAATTCTGTATATTACATCCAAGCCTTCATCAGTGACCAATTGTCAAAGCAATGTTTCAGACTCCCAGATTTTACTGTAGGATGATAAAAAGGGGCAGGACCTGGACAGTCTTTTGACACTTACCATAAAGCAGTCTCTCCCAACCTCAGTATGACTGACATTTGGGGCCAGATAGTTTTTGTTGGAGTGGGGCCGTGTTAAGTAGGAATTTTAGCAGCATCCTGGTCTCTACCCTGGAGAAGCCAACAGCACCTCTCCAGATGTGACATAAATGTCTCCGGACATTGCCAAATGCTCTTGGGGAACAAAATCATTCCTAGTCGAGCACCACTACTATATAGAGATGCAATCCACTTCCCTGAATTTGAAGAGCCCCGACTTCCAGCTTGTTAAACCCATCAGCTAACAGGCCTACCCACGGAGCTGTAGGAGGTTTGCTCTGTGTGAAATTCATGAGTTCTGTTTATGGTCTTACCGGGGGGAAAAATAAATCTACGGCTGATTTAGCATCCCAAACCTCCAGACTTAGGCAAGGAATAAAACTAACATGTTTTCTCCCTGTGAATTTTAAAAATCATTAAAAAATATCCAGCTTGCTGAGCATTTCTGATTGGCAAAAGTGAAAGATGACTTCCCACTCAGTCAAGAATTTACCGTACACCAAACTGTGAGCCGATGGAAACAGTGAATTTCTAAACTAATTCACCCAGAAATACTGGCATTGAAAGTCACATCTTAGCCATCCCTGAACGGAAGAGCTCTATACAAAATGGAAATGATGTGGTGATGCTTCCAGGTCATTAAACATCAAAGACAGAAACAAGCTAGCAATTTCTTATGTTCTCTTCGAAGCTAATGCCAGATGTACGTATTTTTTTTCTTACTTTTCCAGTTTTTTTCTCGAATGTAAATCAAGTGAGTTTCTGCGTTAGTATCTAAATATTTTAAAGACTATTGCTTTCTCCATCTAAATGTCGGAATCATCAAGCAGGATTCAATACACTCTGGAAGACAGTGTTGTCCTGCATAATATACAAGCAAAGATGAGCACTAGCTTGGAAAACACAGGGGTTCTCGTGAAGGAGTTAACATTCTCATTTTTTGAGGAATACCTCTAGAACTTACCGGTACAGGTGTGCCTGGCTTTAAGAAATCTGACTCAGGAAAAGTTCAACAATGCAGGCTAGTGGGGGACTGGTGAGGGACTGAAAGTCTAAAGTTAACATCTTAAAAAATATATATCCTTTAAGATACACTGGGGGCCTTAGACCGGACCAGTATAGATTGCATAAGGACTTCCTTAGTGCTAAGAATGATCTAACAGTGAATTTGTTTTATTTTAGCTAAATGGTATTTCCAATGTACTTGAAAAGTACTATGTTAATTGTACAGACTCACGTTCAGCCCGTTTACATGATTAAATTGCTTAGTAAAAATTTTCTTGGTTCTTTGCAAAGCATACAAAGGTAAACTTCAGCTAAATCATTGTAATGATTTTCTCAAATTTCAGATTACTGACATTTGAATGAGTAACGCTTAATGGAATCATGAAACGCAAAATCTTCCAGACAGGTGAGATGACCAGGAATGGGGACAAGTGTTACGAGAGGGCAAGCCTTCTCCGTGGGCTCCCCCAAGGCATTTCAGTGCCTGCCAAGGGGGCAGGACCTAGTGTCACATGGCCCCGAGGAGTGGAGGGGCACCAAGAAACATGGCGTGTAAGTTCTGGAGGCCAAGGCTCACCGCTGAAACCATGCTCAGTAGCTCTGAGGAGCTCAGATCATAAGCTTCCTTATGAAGGGCAGGGACCTTCTCTGGGGCCCCAGAGCGCCCCAGCGCTCATCTGCCGGCTCCTCAACGGCTGAGTGAATAAGGAAATGGAAACACTGGAAAAAAACACCAATGCAACGTGAAATCCCCTCCGTGAAACTTCCCTTGCTAAAAGTGCAGCCTTTCTAAAGTGCTCTGTCCTTAAAGCCAGGCACAGCCCGCTGCCCTCCTCGTCCCAGCTTCCCGAAGGACACGGCGACACTTACAGCCCCGCAGTTGGGCATCTCACAGATGAAGGAGCCGGATGGCTGGCCGAGGGCCTGCAGGGGTGGCCCCTCCGCGGGAGCCAGTGCGGGGCCTGGCGGTGGCTCGGGAGACTTGGGCACCTCACTCTCCTCTTCTCTTGTGGATTTCCTATCTTCTTCCGGGTCCTCCTCCTCCTCCTCTAACTCCTCTTCTTCTTCACTCGTCTGGTGGTGAGACAACAGAAGCAAAAGAGGGGACATCCCAAATGGCATTTTTAGTGATGAACAGGCCACCAGCCAGAAGAGGAGAGAGGGGCTGAACACAGGGGGTTCTTTCTGCCTAAGGAACAGCGGCAGATGATCTCTACCAGCCCCGTCATTGGGTGCTTGGGGCTTTGAGGTCGAGGAAGTCCCCCTGCCTCACTTTGGAGCCCCTTCACCACTTTTGTAAAAATATGCGAAGGCAGAGAAGAGAGATTTCTGTGTGTAGAGTTTCTTTCCCTTGCTCAAGACCATTAGACTTTGAATTGGATTAAATGTCACTCGTGAGCAGCTCTGTCTCCCCAGAGCAGTAAAGAAGGCTTTTAAGCAGCCACGATACTGCGGAAACCCCCCTGGAGAGAGACTAAAGACCTATATAGTGATTTGTTTCTAGACCTTACGATACATTTCCGGGCAAGACGACCCACATGTCTGATCTGACCTATGGCCTGTGGAAAGCATGAGACTCACGGTGCTCTGACGGGTTCCTGCTTGCTCTTGTCAAAATAGAATCCAAGAGTGAACGTCAACAGCTTTGTAGAGAGGAAAGGGGAAGGGATAACCCCCCAGCCCCATTTTTTTTTTTTTTTGGACTGTGTCATCATGGGCTTGGAGAAATGCCTACCAGAGGTATTCTATCAAAAAGAACATGAAAAATATTAGTAGCCTCTCTGCAACTGTGTCCCTTCCCCCTACTTCAGAACAACAAGGTGGAGAACACAGCAGAAAGTCCTGCCTTCCCCAGAGGTCACAAGATGGTAAGTCACTGGAGCAACTGATGTCCTACTGTGGCAGGGGTGGGGTGGAGGGCAGGGATGCAGGAGGCCTTCATTCTATTTGTTCAACTACCTTACTCTGTTTCCTCCGTCCTCCCGGAGGAATGCTGGCTCCTCCAGGCTGTGGAAGGATGGAGGCTCAGGGAGAGGGAGTTCTACGTTATGTCAATTTCATTCCAGCTTCTGTTTCACAGCACTTCACAGTTTACAAAGCATTTTCATGTTTGCAGTCTCACCAAGAAGCTGGAAACATCTCCCCATTTTACAGATGAAGAAACAAAAGGCGCGTCCTATTGCCTCCACCCTGACAGGTCAGCTGTGTCTGCCAGGCTCTGCTTAAAGCACATGGGCTCCAGTCTGATTTATCCCAGAGAATGATGGAACTCTGGGGGAACCTACGATTCTTAGAACCCAGAAGCAAAAATTCCTGAAAAGGACGAAGATTTCTAAGAGTAGTAGAGCAGTCCCCTGGGATCCAGAAACCACAAGCTTTCTCTCTCCAGTTTGGACTGGGGGCAGGAGAGAAAGACAGTGCTAGTACATATGGGGCATTTAACATTCCAACATTGTCCCACTGCTGTCTGCATTTATTACTATATGCGTATTTGAGAGGATGTAGTGATAGGGTATACTTAAGAAATAGCTTCGGGGTGCCTGGGTGGCTCAGTTGGTTAAACGACTGCCTTTGGCTCAGGTCATGATCCTGGAGTCCCCGGATCGAGTCCCACATAGGGCTTCCTGGTCAGCAGGGAGTCTGCCTCTCCCTCTGACCCTTCACTTCCTGTGCACTCTATCCCTCTCATTCTCTCTCTCAGATAAATAAATAAAATCTTAAAAGAAAATCTTAAAAAAAAAAGAGAGAGAAAAAGAAATAGCTTCAGTTTCCAGTGGGTTCATTACAATAAACCAGTAATGATTACATTTGCTGAAAGACTTCAGTGAGCACAGATGTAGGCCTACTTCATTTTGCAGAGTGATTTCTGATATATGAGTTGTAGGTCTCATAATTATGAGTATAGAACACACGGATTGATTTTCCTTAAATGGTCTGATTCCCATGTGAATCCAACATCTTTGAACATCAAAGGGTTTCAGGTAAAACCATGTCGTGTCAAACTCCAATGGTTCACTCCAGACCTTTCTAGAACTGGAACTCTGTGGACTCAATATTGCTTTATTAAGCAAGCAATGGTCCACACCTTGGCCCTTAGATTACATGGTAACTTTTAATGACAATGGCGTTTGTTTTACAGTCCTTGCTATAATTACAATTTTCTCACAATACCATTTTTTTGGGCTTAAAAACTCTTAGAAAGAGAAAGAGATCTTAGAAAGATTCCATATAGCCACAAATTTACAGATTAAATTACACTGTGCTGTGATTATATATGTCTCTGCAATTTAGATAGGTTTTATTTCAACTGGCAATCTATACATGTTCACAAAATGATTTATCACCAAGCCATATGGCTTACCAAAGTGACTAAGAGATACAAAGATAGGAGGACAAGGATCCTAACATGGACAACTTTGTATCAACAAGTTGGCCATTTCACGATGTATTGTGAAATAAAACACTGAATAATATTCCCAAACTGGTAGCAGGTGGGCAAATACAGGATGGGGAGGTGGTGATGTATTTAACACGGTGCTTAAAACCTTGGGAGTCTGCAGTAAGAGTTCCTTGAGGAGGATGATACTCTTATTTCTCAGGCATGCAAATGAAATTTGCATGATGAGACATTTGTTAAGTGAAAATACAAATGCTCAACAGCCCAAATTTACTCCGAGACATAAATCTGAGCGTCACAGTTACTTATGATGATAGTGATGGTGGGGATGAAAATTCCTGCTAGGAATTAGGCACCACACACACACACACACACACACACACACACACGTGTATGCACACGTACATACACACGAAATTTCTGGTGCATACGATAATCCCGTACAAATTTTTCTTTTTTAAACAAATGAGGAAATTGGCCAGAGAACGACTTTCCCCAAGGTCACATAGCTGGTAAAAAAGTTGAACTGAGATTGAAACCTCAACTATCTGATTTCAAAATCTAGCCTTCTTCATTTATTGGCCCTGCAGCTGATGTCCACAGGGGGACATGTGTTCATCTGCACACAGTTTAGATTTTCAGCCCAAACAAAGAGATCCTAAACCCCTCCAAACCATTGCAAACGGCTGCCTGTAAATGTCGAAGGGCAGCAGGAGCGCTCCCAAGCTTCCATCAGCAGTGGACCAGGTGGTAGTAACTTAGGTGCTTAGACCATGGTGAGCATTGCCTTTGGGAGACCTGACTGCTATCTTTGAAAGTCAGCTACTCTTCTCACTTAGTTTCTTGAATTGTGCTGAATTTACAACCAGACCCACAGATTGGCCTTCAGTGGGAGCATGAGTGTGGGCAAGAGACAGGGAGATGTGATCACTACTTTTCTCCTACATCTTTAACAGAGCCCACCCTGGTCCCCTTCTTTTGCCTCCAAGATGGGAGGACCTCTCATGGCTTTAGGCCAGAAGTCTAATCAGCTGAGGAAGCTACTGTGGTCTGTTGGTCTTCTGGTTACCTCAAGAGCAGCCATTCCTCACAAACTCTCCTTTTCCCTTCTCCTCACAAAAGTCCCTGAACTATCCGAGTGTGTTCCATCTGGACGAAACACTGCGGACCTATGATCAGGAAGCCATCCCCGGTGTCCGGGCAGGCCCAGAGGACAAAGGGCAGGACCCCTATGACTGTGCCTTCTGCACCCTTCCCGTTTTTTGCATGGTCCCAATTTTTCATCTCTACTTTGCAAACTTTCCTTAAAAGGCTGACTGTGTCTTCACAGTGCCTGAAAGGAAGTGTGAGCTACCATGCTGACCTTAAATCAAGATTTGCTCCCTCCCTTTCTTTCTTTCTTGTGGGCCTGAGTCATCTCTGCACGTGGCTTTTTGGTCTCCTTAAGGTAACAAGGGTGGGGATGCTCCCGATCCAACTTCATCCTGGCTCCTGGTGAACAGGCTCAAGAAGGTGTGGCTCCTTGGGCATCATCTTACCCTCTCCTTGTCTCAGGCTAACAGGCTGGCCTGGCCGTTCTGCACAGCTCCAGAGCCTGCCAGCCCACGACGGCCCCTCTTCCTTACGTGGTAATATCTTCCTTAGCAGCAATCCCCTGCTCTGAATCCCCCTGTTCTCCCCATCTCCCTGCAGTGTGTTCATAGAGGGAGCATTGCTATGAGCCCCAGTGACTCCTATCTGGGAATGATGTTCATTCACTTCATTCCACAACGGATATTTAAAGGATTTATATGATGCTAGGAACTCCCCTAGGCACTCGGTAACACACAGCTAGAAAGACATCCATTGGCCTTAGGAAACCATATTCTCTGATTTTTGCTTTCTTCCAAAACATGACTCTGACAGAGACCAGAATGTTTCAGAACTGGAAGGGACCTTCCAAATCATCTAAGTCATCTGCCCCATTTTATAGGTCAGTAAGCTTAGGAGCCAGGTCTTAGGTCTGCAAGACCAGGTTTCTTCATGCTTGTTTGCCATCTAGTCCACTCATCTGGAAAGTAATGCTCTGTGCGACCTTGGGCAGCCCTTCCCCTCTCTGGGCCTCAAACCCTTGCCCAGGCATGGTGGAGCTGGAGGAGAGAGAGGACCTAAGGCCCCATCCAAGCCCTTCTGGCTCTTGTCTTACGCCGCTTGTAAACACTTTTGGGGTTCATGCTAAAGCTTCCATTTGTGTATGCCACATCCTCCAACTTCAGTATACACTCCTGGTGGGGGGAGGGGGGCCAGAGGCCAGTTGACATCCCCGGGTCACCCACAGTACCACATGCGCCTTGTTGTTTACACTGTGGGAACTCAACTGCGTTCAGCTGATTGAGCCAGAACAGGCCACATTGCTTTTTTTAAACATTAGGCCACAGGTGAGAACAATGCTCTCCAGACAGAAGACAGCACCCACTTCAGCCACTCAAACAAAAGCCCTGGTCACGGGAAACCGCAAGCACAGAACACCATCATCTCTGATGCAGATCGATTCTTTCCTGATATCTGGGTCCAAATATAAATTAAAATATGTGTGTATATTTCAAGCTAGGATCATTCTTAGGTAGGAACTTGGACCTCAAGGCATTAATGAGTTCAAGAATTTTTATACTTCTCTAAAAGAGTCTGCATTGTACTGCTCTTAAGTATCACACAGAGAATCAGGCTCAGACAACATCCTCACCAGCCATTTGACCACGGCTAAGTTACCTACGCTGTGTGCCTCAGTTCCCTACCTCCTGGACTGTCTATGAGGATTAAATGAATTCATACTGGTAAAGGGCCTAGCACAAGGCCCAGCACATAGAAAGGGCTATGTAAGTGTCCATTAAAGAAAATAAGCCATGTATGTGTTAACACAACTGGGGCATGATGGTGAATGACAGTGTAATTACATATATTCACAACAATCATGAATTCCAAACACTTTCCCCGATGGTGACAGCTTGGAGTTCACGAATCTGTTGTAAGACATGCCATTTTTATACACCCCTGCACGGCTGGTAATGTTTCCCACAGTGTGTGGAAAGATTTCCCCTGGCTATGGATGCAGATAAAAGGAGTGAACCAGAAGTACAAAAGTGATCATAATTACTGAAGCCACACATTAGGGGTTCAGAGAAGACTTCAGTGTCTTTCATCTTTAGTGTGTTACGTCTTTCATGTCTGCTTAATATGCAGACAACTTTGGATCGTCCGCCACCGAAGGAAATCAATCTTGAGGATAAACGGTGATTAAGGATTAGAATATACACACTGCTAACTATTCCTCGATAATTGAGAGCTCCTGGCACTGTCTAGAAGCCACTCCTTGGTCATGCTTCGTGGACGCTGTGGGAAAACCCGAGGGCTGTGCTTCTCTGGCCAGCAGCATCTGTGATGCCAGTGGATCGGAAAGGATATCCTGGGGGGTCAAGGACACCCACTTATAAGGCATCAAGTCAAGGCAGGGATCACCCTGGGTGCCCCAGAAGCCAGGCCAGCCCTCACCTCCTTGAACTGAGTGCTGAGCTCCGGGGCGAAGTCAGAAGCACCTTCCTTCTGGCATTTCTGTGCCAGGAAGTGGAGGCCTGAATCCCACCAGGGAGCGGGCCATCATCTGCTCAGGTGGTCACCTCCATAAAGCCGAGCCAAACGCCAGCCGCTTACTAACCTGGGTGTGGGGCGGGAGCGGGGCCCGCATAAGCAGCGACTGACCAGCTTCACTCACCACAGAATCATCAATTTCTGCGAGGCGTGTCCGGTGCTTCCGTCCCAAGCGCATGATCTTTTTCCAGGTATAGTAGTACTCCACACACTGAGCCACCGTCTTAGACTTCACCTGCCAGGAAAGCCATCCGCAGATCAGCTCGGTAGCATGCGTTCTGCCCAGCCACCAGCTTTCTCGAAATGGCTCACAGGTGTTTGCAATTCAATTTAAAAAAAATATAGATCGGGAAAACCCTCCTTCAGTGCCTGGTCTCCCTCCATCTTGCCTGGTCTCCCTCCATCCAGCCCTCACTCTCCACCCCCGCCACACAGCTACCCCTCAATTCTTGGGTCTCATTCCAGAAACTATGCAGATACGAAAGAACACAAAAATGTATTTCTCCTCACAAGAGGCGGAACACTGTCTGCTGTTTTGCAACTTGACTTTTTTTTCCACAATATAGCCTGGAGATCTTTTTTGATGTTGGTTCACAGAGAGCTCATTCCCTTTTTTAACCCATAAAGCAGCATGTTTTTTCATTTAATGTGCTTGAGTGTATTTGGCTCTCTGACTGGTTGACCTTCAAAATCTATTTGTGAAAAATGTTCCTCAGTAATCGAACAGGAATGTAAGGCAAAAGTTATGATGATAAGAGCTTAGTTTCTGCAGGAAACCTTGCTCTGTCCTCCCCCAAGGGGGCAAAGGTACATAGAGGGAAAAAAAATGCCTTTGTGTAGTTCATAGATCTCCAAGCTCAAGGTGGGGTTCAATAATGTGGGTTTTCTGGAGGCTGGCCACACTTCTGGGGGGGGGTAGCCAGCCAACCCAACCGTGAGATCAGAGGGGCAACACCCCAAGTCCTGTCTTCCTGAAGCTGTCCCCTTCTCATCACTGGATATCTTGAATTTCCTCATTAGAGCTGCACAGGGAGTGAGGACACTGGCTCGGAGAGCACTTGCTCACAAAGCCATGTCGCCTGGCAAACATGACACACGACTCCATCACCAGTCAAAACGGTGCAGGCCTGCAAGGGGTGAGGCCTCCACCGGGTCAGTCCTGGGGCAAGGGGACTCAAAAAAGACGACAGCATGGAAGCTGCTGAGCTTATGGGGCAGCCAAGAGTGGGGTGGGCTCCAAGGCAGAGAAAGGCAATAATGAATACATATCTGGAGATGGGGGCAAGAGGGAGGAGAGTCTACCTGCTCTGATTCCTATCCATCAAGGAAGGCCCTAGATTAAGGACGGGAGACAGGCACCCAAGTGGGTAGCATCGGCCAGTCCAGATGCCAGTGGGAGTTATTATCTGCAACTGTTCTCTGTGGACCTGAACATTTTAATGACCTTAATAACACAATATGGCTCCATTGTTCATGGATTTTCCGAAACACCCTTGGAAACATTTTAACTTTTAGTCTAAACCACCTCAGCTCTTAGCCAATGAAGGTCTATTAAGTTCATTATCTGCTGTAAAAGTGCTATTTCGTCTGTATAGAAGAGTTCTATTTTGTTGCAAGATGTTATGTATGCAAACTATTATTTTTATTATTACTGCCATTATGATTAGGGGCCCAAAACCAGATGCTTTGCTGCTGGCTAGCGGAGGCACCTATCATCCCTTCTTTAATTTCTCAGAAAAAAATTGCCAAAACACAACAAATCGGTCAAATATACATGAAATGAATCATGTATATTGTAAACTAACAGACCCGTCCTATTTATTCTGAGAGAATGTATTAATTACAAGTATTTAATAAGATAAAAAATACCCCCCCCACCACTATGTCCAAATAATGTAGGTTTTCCTTCTCCCTCACATCCCTGACACTGGAGTGACCCTAACATCCTTCTCGTGAGAGTGTTAAATGAGTACCAGAGATTTCTGTATGTCTTTAGGTGCACAATTTCCCAAATTCAATTTCAAGTGAGCGATTAGAAAAAGCATGCTTACCATCTTCTGTACAAAAATAAAGTCTTTGCTGTAAGTGGCTAGTGCTTTATTAAACAGTTTTCTTTCTAGGGAGGTCCACTTGTCCGAACCTACAAAACAGAAACATTGTAAGAACAGCTCACAGTTCTCCCTACTTTTAGGTGCTGGCTTATTTAGTTACAAAACATGACTGTTTAGCAAGTGATATGATACACATCCAACTCCCGTTTGAACAAGAAATCCAGTGTAGTGTAATGGTTTGCAACCCTGACATCTGGGTTCAAATCCCAGCTATGGCTTTGACCTTGGAAAGTTACTGAACTCGAGACTCAGTCTGGTGACCTACAAATGGGAATGATTCCAATTGTCCTCAGCTTTTGTGATCTCTGCGAAGGTTAAAGAAAATAAGACACCACAAGTGCTTAGCTTAGTAACTGGAAAACAGGGAGTGCCCAACAAATTGTAGCTATAGGCAGATTCAGCAGTCTCCACCATCAAGATGCTCACCATCTAGTGGGAAGACACACCAGCAGGCCACGGTGTTCAAGGTGAGCCTCACGCTCAGGTTAGGGTCAGGCTTCCCGGAAGAGCAAACACCTGAGCTGAGTTTTAAAGGACACGCAGAAATAGTTCAGGTATGGAGGAGATGGAAGGAAATTCTGGGGAGGAAATGTGTTTGAGGCAAAAGTAAGAGCAAAGAGTGAGATGATGCATTCATTCACTTCATTCATTCACTCACTCACTCAATGGGTATTAGGTGTCTACTACACACAAGACACTGTGCTAGGAAAACAAACAACAAAACCCCTAGCATTTCTAGGTGCTTATTATTCCGTGTTCTAAGTACTTCACAGGTATTAATCATTTGGCTCCACCAATAACCCCATAAGACTGGCATTACTGTTACCCATTTTACAGATGAAATGGAGGTGTTCAGAGAAGGAGTAATCCAGTATGGTTTAACTACAAGCTCCCAGCGAAGAGAAAGCAGATGAGGCTGGAGAGGTGGGTGGGGCCAGTCCCTGATCTTCAAGACCAATGAGGACGAGGCCCCACAGTGCTGGGTTGGTGCACCTGCTTTGGTGGCTGAACTTGATTTTCACATTTGTTTCCCCTCCATAAATGAGAAAGCACGATATGCAGATCATCATACAGGGTGGTCCTGTTAAGAAATTAAGCTTATTTCTAAGATAGGTCCTATTTCTGGAGGCTCTAGATAAGGTTCAATCCTGGTGGCTGGTTTGCAGAAAACTCTGCCTCACTTTTCTGGCTTTTTGAGTTCTCCACATCTCTGAATTTTTTGGATGGTACACGGCAGGACCTTTGACGTTCTACTTCTCAAAGCTATAATCCCCCAAACCGTAGTACTTTCCCTCCTCACCAGGGTAAGGCCAGGATTTCCACTTTGCTATGGCTGGCTGATGAAGATGAAAATACAGGAAACCTGAATTGTGTCTCCCACTGGAAGTTTCAGCCAGAATCAGTGAATCAGGCTCCTTGAGAGAATGTGTGAGTCAGCAATAGAAACAGATTTCTCAAATAAACACCTTCTTTGTGTGACCCAGTGATGGGTCCCCAAGCCAAGAGCTCTGGCTCCAGACTCAGTATGTTCTGTGGAGTTGGCTGGCTCAGACCTCCAAAACACAGGGCCGCCACCACCTGATTTCTTTGGTTTGCAAGTTTCTCTTTATTTCCAGAAGGGGAGTGGCCTTCCGAATAATCCTCAGCATTAAGAAGCATCTTCCACAGGTTCTGGAGGATGGGACATCTCTGGCTATGCAGCCATCACAACAAGGAGGAGAAGAGAGGATGAGTGGAGAGGTTTTGCTGGAATGGATATGAGCAGAGGACGTCAGTGCGATTTGGGTCTCTAGAATGGTTCCATCAGTGTTCCTCAAATTCTCTCTAGTATTCAGGGCCTTGGAGTCCCAGCAATCATATTCCTCTTGCTCAGGAGCAGACGTAGAAAGAGAGAGACAGAAAGGATTACCAACACTTCAGTTGAATAACCAAAGAGCAGCCGTGGTTTCCTTTAGGTAGCCATCCAAACAGCAAAGAGGTAAGAGGAATCAGAAATGTAATGATGGAAGAGGATCATGATGGGGACATGTCAACATTGGCTAAAGCCCTGGTCAAGCTATCCCGCTGCAGGTCTGGAGCCCAGACAGCTCTGGGTTGCATCTCAGATGTGAAATCAGGGGACCTCTTGCTGCTGAGGACACCCAACTAGATCAATGAGAATCCTGTCTGCTCTCAGCCAGAGCATACGTTTCCTAAGTTAGAGTGGGGCTCTCAGACCTGATGAGACGCTAACAGGGCCAGGCAGCCTTCTCAGGTCAGCACCCATCTCTACGGTGGGCACAGGTGCTTCCACTCCATGCCAGGAGCAGAATCATCACATGATTACAGCCCAGGTCTATTTTTTTTTTTTTAAGATTTTATTTATTTATTTGACAGACAGAGATCACAAGTAGGCAGAGAGGCAGGCAGAGAAGAGGAAGGGAAGCAGGCTCCCTGCTGAGCAGAGAGCCCCATGTGGGGCTCGATCCCAGGACCCTGGGATCATGACCTGAGCCAAAAGCAGAGGCTTTAACCCACTGAGCCACCCAGGCGCCCCCCTAGGTCTATTTTTAAGCAGCATATCCCTTCATGCCTCCAAAGAGCTTGTCAGTTGCAACCCCACTGAACGGGAAGTAGCTTCCTGGACCATCTGTCATGGGGAACTCCAAGCCTCATGGGGGAAGGGCATCCCCCATGCTGATTCCTCAGTGATTTTTTAGGGCTGCTGCTCTGTGATGGGGTCTTCAGTCTCCCCGACCTGAGTGTTTGTTCCATACCCCTAGTCCTGGATCAGAAGCGCACTGCACTTCCCTGCTCTGAGGGCTTGCAGGACCCGGGTCAGGGAGCATGTGCTCAGAGTAAAAGAGCTGCCTTATGTGGTCCTCTGGGTGCACTTCAGTGCACAAGACAGCACCGTGTATGTGTGTCTATCCAACAAGGGCATCCATGAAGTGAGAGGCAGAGGCAAGGCCAGACCAGCAAATCCATTCGCTCACACTAAAGCGGGGTCCATCTTTATGATTCTGATTACAAGTGCCCACAGGGCTGTACCCCTGGGTTCCTGGACAGAATTCCCAGGAACACCCAAATGTGCTTTTCCCAGATAAAGGCACTGTGCTGTGATAAAAAGGGGTGACTTCAGGGGTGCCTGGGTGGTTCAGATGGTTAGGCAGCTGCCTTTGGGTCAGGCCATGATCCCGGGGTCCTGGAATTGAGCCCCACATCGGGCTCTCTGCTCAGTGAAGCCTACTTGTCCCTCTCTCTCTGCCTGCCATCCCCCCTGCTTGTGCGTGCTGTCAAATAAATGAATAAAATCTTAAAGGAAAAGCGGTGACTTCAGCCAAGAGACCCCAGTCTGCAAATGCAGTTCTACCACTTACTCCTATGGCCTCAGGCAAAGGTACTCAACTTCTCTGGCTCTCAGTTTCCTCTTCTCTGACAGATAGCACCATTTGGTCCTAAGTGGGTAGGTACACAACAATTATTGCTGGTCCCTTGGAAAGGAGATTCCAAGTCAGCCCACAGCTAGGGGATACACACTATCCCTGGCTGGCCTGTATTAACGGCACTGGAGAAGACCACTGATCCGTGCTGGTGTTCCTAGTTCTGTGGGAGTACAATCCCACCGCTGCTGGTCGCTGGTGGCTCCCCGACTTCCACTCCCCGACCCCTGAAATGCCTTCTGTAATCCCATCAAGGCAAGACTCAGGCATCTCATTCCCAGAGGCTCTGTCGGATGGGAGGGCTTTCTTCATTTTTAGACAAGGTTCTAAGCCAGCCCTTCCTGGATTCTGTGTCTTGGACAAAGTCCAGGATAAAACACAAAACCAAGGCAGGGGGCTGCCTCTAACAGTCCCCTTGCTCTGCCCTTTCTTTCTCTCCAGGATCCCCGCTGTCCACTCAGCATGCGCACAGGGTTAGTGGGCTGACATTCCCCTTGCGCTCATTTGCCCTACCTGGGGATTCCTGGCTATTGGGCTGTTATCAGCGGGGGCCCCTAACAAGCCGATTAAGGCTAATTACAAAAGGCCTAATTAACTGAGGAAACTGGTGCTGGAACAGTATCCAGAGGAAAAATGTTCTGAGCTTTGGTTGCTGGGAAACAGGCTCTGGACTAGGACTACATTTGGGGCAATCTATAGTGAACCCAGGCAATTAAAAAGAGACATGGAGTGGTGAGAGAATTGGGCTCAGGATCTTTTAGAGGGCCCTTCCATCCTGCTCTCAAGACTTAAAATACTTTTGTGATGATGGTGTTATTGCACAGAACAAGGAAGACCTGTTCACTGCAGGGAAAGGGGAACTGTTTTTCAATCAGATCTTCATTTCTGCGTAAGGTTTTCCACAGTGGGTAAAGGCTGAATCCTTTTTTAGGGATGGAGGGTGAAGTCAGCTGCTGCCAAAGATCCCCGTGAGGCAGAAGGAAGGGAGGCCTCCATCTGAATCCATACCTCGAGCTCGTCCGCTGAGCCCTTCTTTACCAGCATTGTGTCAGGCAAGGCCAGAGACTAAGTACTGACTCAGGTCCTGCCCTTGAGGTGACCACTCTCCAGCCAGAGACATGAGTTGAGAAAGCCTGGAAAATGCCATCACAGCTGTGTTCCTTGCTGAGCATTCTCTCGAGTATGTAGTCCTGTCTGCTCGTCAAACTGGGCAGCTTCCAAGACAGAGAACAGGCCTTCACCAACCGATTAGGAATTTCCTCCAGGAATCCTGCAAGTCCGAAGTGGGGTCAGGGTCTGGGACTCAGGAAAAGCCTGGGCTGTGGTGGGAGCTGGATGGTGGCCTTTGTTGCACCCTTGCCAGGAAGCATGAGACCCATGTCTGCACCCACCTGCAGGAATGATCAGTTCGGTGGAAAACCCAGGGATGCAGGAAGCCCCTTAATCACAACCAGGCGTCCTCCTCACCCTGACTACCCCATGTTCAGGCCTTCCCCACCCAACCCAACTGCTAGCAGGGAACCTCTGCAAAGTGCTACCCACACATGGGCGGAGGGGGCTGAGAGGCTGGACAGTGTGCCTGGGTGTGGATTTGAATGCCGGAGGCCGCTGCAACGGCATGTTCCTTCCTCCCAAGGATCTTATACAGTGCTCCTCCGGCCTTGGCAAGCAGCCTCCAGGTCTGGGCAAGCTGCCCACCCATACTGGTGTCTTTCCTGGGCCCCAGCACTGGTCACTTTTTTCTTTTCGTACTGAATTGTTTGGGATGAGGGGGGCAATGTCCTAAGTAAAGTAGGGGAAGTGATTTTCACAGGCCTGGGTCTCCGTCTGTCTCCCCCCAAACTTGTAGCCTCTGCCTCTAAGCTCAGATGTTCTACCTTGCCTCCAGGGACAGAGTGGGGGTGGGGTGACACTGGCCACAGCCACAGAGCCAAAGCCTAAGGCGATCCAGAAGACAGTGTCCTGGTGATGCTGACTTGACAGAATCCTACTGGAGAGCAACCCAAAAGGGTACAAAAGGCCAAGACAGGATGGGGTCACAGGGATGCAATTCACTGATATCCTGAACCAAACTGAGGGAAGAAGGTGGTGGCTGGTAACTAGGACATGTGAGGGGGATATACTCCGGGGCCTCTTCTGGGGCCTGGAAGAGAACTATTAAGGGGTGGAGACTTTAGGGACCCATGACCTGTGGCCTTTTTGCTTATAGTTCTACAAGATTCTCTGCAGCCCAGTCTGTGATCACTTTCTGGAGAAGGCAGACGTCTGGCAGATATATGTGAGTACCCTTTTCTTGGAGACACAGGGCTAGTGGAATACCAACCCTTCACACCTCAGCTCCACCTCTCCTGCCTCCAAGGTTGAAAATTTCAGGAGGCAACAGAGTGCTTCCTGGTCTGCTTATGGGGGAGGGAGGCCAAGGATGGGCAACTCATTGGCTGGGGATCCTAAAAGATGGGTAATTTTAGCAGAGTTTAGTTTCAGAATCCTTATTATTATTGCAGCATTTTGGTTTTGTTTTCTTTGGGGAGGGGTGGCTTCTATATAGCTTTCCAAATGTTATGTCATGACACACATAAAACAATATTATACTTGCTTGGCACAGTGGGAAGAACTGGATGGAGGGGGTCTGGGTCTCAAGACAAGGTTGCTCACAGCTGGAGCTGACCAGCCCAGAGGCTCCGGCCACCCTGGTTCCCCCGTGGGTGAGGCAGCTACAGCAGATGGCTGGGAAGCTCCCTGTCATCAACCGTCTCGCCCACTCTTCAAAGAAGCCTGAGATAGGCTCCAGTAGGCCGGACAGCCTGTCAGGGTTTAATGGGCAGCAGATGAAACTGGGAATTAAGAGGATTGAATTGTTTCCACGGCAGATTAGGGAGAACTCCCACATCTTCCTACCCGCACTCAGGGCAGACACCAAGCAGGAAGTGATGGAGACAATAGTAAGAAACTGGTTGGCTTAGGCCCCAGTTAAATGATTTCTTATCCCTGTGTCCCTTTTGTGCTTGCCTACTTCTGGTAGCAGCCCATGTGCTGACAGTGATCCACAGGCAGACATCCAGGGCTGTCTGCGCTCAGGTAAGTGGCTTCTGGGCCTTTCCCCCACTGTGATGCCACACACAGTGTGGCAAAGGGTGCTGGGCCCGGTGGGGTGCCCATGGAGAACGCTCTTGTATTTGTTGAGCAGCCCTCATGTTAGGCCACATCTGTCTGCCTGGACTGAGGACTAGGAAAGGTCCAACCAGGTCCCCAAGCCCACTTCAGTACTTAGCACCTACTCATGCAGGGTCTGCCCAAGGCACCAATGGAACCTTTAAATCCTCATTGGAGGATTTAGTCCCCTCTGAAATGGAGAACCCCGGCAGGCTTGCACAGGCCCTCAGAACGGATGGGTTTACCCAATTACCGGAAATTAAAATGTTGATTTCAACTTCCTTTTGTCACTTCAGGCTCCCTGACCTGTCGCCTTCTCTTTCCATGATTCTTACCACATTCAATTCTCAAAGGTGTTTTCTCCTTCCCCCTTACTGGTGATGCCATCATTAACCCACACCGTCACAGGACACATTCTGTATGTGTACGTGTCTGTGTGTAACACGTGTACATATATGTATATGCATGCGTATATATGTAAGTGCGTGTGTATAGTACACGCATATGTAGATGTCCTTCTCTGGCCTTGAGTGTCATCTGTGGTTGGTGACTCCTTCCTCCTCAGACTCCAGATTGCAGGACGTAGGATTCCACCTATGTCCATCATAGGCACTGTTTTATCTTAGTACTTAGGACAGTTTCTTGTATGCAGCAAGTACTCAATAAGTAAACAGTCAATAAATAAATGATAGTGACTAGACTATGCCATGCGTTGCGCTACATCTACTATTTCTGATCATCACAAAAGTGCTGCAAGGGATGGAGGAGCCCCGTTTCACGGGTGAGGAGACCAAGGTTCCAGAAGGCCAAAGGGTGCAGGCAAGATCTGAACCCATGGCCACTAATTCCAAAGCCGAGGGGGCCACCGAGCGTTGTCTCTGTGCCGTCCCCTGGGTGGTGCCTTCCTGCCGACGCATCAGTCTCACCACCACGCACGCAGGCACCGGCCACTGTCACCCGGCTCTTGGCACATCCATTAGGGTGAGGGGAACCCATACAAACACCCAAGAGTACCCAGCCAACAGACACAACTACCCCACCAGCTGTGCCCCAGAAGCCCTGGAGCTCACAAGGGGCGATTAGGATAGGATTGGTGGATCTGTTATTAAAAAGCGACCCCACCAAACGTGCAAAAAGCCTGCTCTCAGGAAGCAATGGGGCACAAGGCTCCTGGCAACCTACCGGCATAGTGGTAATTTGCTAACGGATGACATTTTAACCTGACTGGCTTCCTCAGCAGCAGCATTTCCAGAGCAACCTGCAGACCCATGGGAGAGAAAAGGGAGAGTCAGTGAGCGGTCTGTGGGTTGCAGGAAGAGCATTACCTAATGGGGAAAAGGAGTCAGCACTACAGAGCTAGGAGTTCTGGGTGCTGGAAGGAACCCCAGACTGGGCTTCCTTTCTGGCCGGCATCCCATGGGATGTGGCACTCAAACACCTCCCCCTGCCCGTGCCTGTGGCCAGTGGGTCCTGTCAGAGAAAAATAGTGGAGACACCACTCCTTCCCTGGTGAAGGCCCCAGCCTCAGAGAGACAGTGGGATCTCCTCTGAATGGGGACTCAATCTCTGGTGAAAGGCTCCAAGGAAATGAGTGGGTGATTTGTGGGTGTTTTGCAGAAAAATGCATTTTGTTACAATTAACATAAACAGTTGTGTTAATAGTAACTGTACTATGCACTGTCTTTCCAGAGAGCCTAGGTAAAGAACCCTTTCAAATATGCCTCTTTCAGCCTGTTCAACTTAAAAAAAAAAATGGTGCCTGTGGAATTGTACACGGGAACAGTAGATGGGTTAGGAGCAGAGCAAGGTTTAGAATCTTGCTTCCCAAGTGTGGTCCATGGGCCAGCAGCATGGGCGTCCACTGGGAGCTGGTTAGAAACGCCAAACCTTGGGCCCCACCTCCAGAACTGTTGAATAAGAATTTGCATTTTAACAAGATGCCCCAAGTGATTTGTGTGCACATTAAAAGTTTGAGAAATGCTTCTCTGCAATACTTGTCTTAAAGGATTAAGAAGCGTTCTCTTAACATCCTAGAAAATCTATGAAGGGAATCAATAATCTCATGAGAAGGCAGTATTGGGACACAAGAGGCCAGATTTGGTACCAAAACCATGTATTACCTAAGGGGGAAACTGATGTGAGTAACTGAGTGCCCCTAGCAGGAGCCCAGGTGAAGCAGGTAAATGGTCAGCTAGGATTCTGGGAGAATGGCACCAAAGGTCTGACTGTGTCAAAGCTGCAAAAATGACCCCAGTTGGTACACAGCAAACCCTTCATTTCAGGTAGGAGATAAACTTCTATGAACATCAAACTGGCTGACATCCACAGCAGGGAAGAACAATCAGCAGAGTAGGATAGGCTCTTTCAGACCAAGTCTTGTTTCAGTAAGGTTTTCTACTTCTATCATTGGAGGCCCAGTTTCTGATGTGAATTATAAGACTGCTGAAAAGAAATTCTAATTTCCCAAGACAGGTGTGAGCATAATTATTACTCAGGAATAGACGTACAGAAGTCCAACTGCAGGTTTCTCCTGCAGGCTTAAATCCAGACCCACTCAGTGAGATAAGGAACATGGTGGCATGTTGATTGGTCATGATCTTAAGAACTGGTTTTATGGCATGTGGGACAACACAGAATTTCAGGAAAATACTTTTCAAAATTTTGACATGGAGAATATGAACTGTGAAGTTTCTCTCTCTCTCTCTTTTTTTGATGAAGTCTCCTCTTCTCCATTCCTTACCATCACATCACCTTTGGCCTCGAAAAGAGAGTGCAAAGCAAATTCAGAATTGGTCCCTCCACCAGGCAACGCACTTGAACAGCACAAATTCAGGAGATTCTCCACTGTTGGGGACAATAAGAAGCCACTGCATCAGAGAGAGCTCAAGTCTCAAGGACAAACAACACCCAGCCTGAAGCCAGAGACCCCTGTGAGAGGATCAAGCCTTCCCCACCCAGTTCTTCCCACATGCCAATACCTCTTTGCTGGAGGTCATGGTTTTCCAGCTCTGGCCAGGGCTTCCATACTAGTGTGGCCTTGTGTGTGTCCTGAGCCAAGGCAGAGACATCCTGAAGTTCTGGGATCTCTGCTTGGAACCTCAAGCCAATGTTGATGCGTCTTTAAGGACAGAATGAAAACAACAGTGTGGCCTTCAATTTGAGGTCAAGAGCAACTGTCAGGAACTTGAAAAAGGAGGAAACCAGTTCCTTCTGCAAGAAGAATGCAGAGGCATTTCCCAGCAGTGTGATCCTAAGATTCCAGGGATGGCCTTTTCACTGGGAGAAGGAACAGCTTTAAGATTGGGGAGAGATGCTAAAGGGAGCGGGGGAAAAGTCTGCTAGGAGCATCATAGCTCACTGTAACTCAGACAGGATGGGTGCTAATTGCAAGGCAACAGCTGCCCAGGGTATGGCCGCTGGCACAATTTAACCAGGAAAAATGGAACAAGCATAATGTGCTTATTATATTTGCTATCCCTTTCAGACTACTTTCACATAAATTATCCCATCTGAATCTCACAAAGACCTGAGATGTAAGCAAGGCAGTGATAATTATTTCCACTTAATAGGTGGGTTAACTAAAACCTAGAAAGGTTGGGGTGCCTGAGTGGCTCAGTCGGTTAAACGTCTGCCTTTAAGCTCAGGTCATGGTCTCAGGGTCCTGCAATGGAACCCCTCATCGGGCTCCCTACTCAGCAGGGAGCCAGCTTCTCCCTTTGCCCCTCCTCCCACTCCTGCTCTCTCTCTCTCTCAAATAAATAAATAAAATCTTAAAAAAAGTAAAGCCTAGAAAGTTTAACTTCATCAATGTCAAATAAAAAACGGTGCTGACTCAATATTGTCACCACTCTACCACCTGGTCTTTTTTGCACTTATCTCTGAAAATAGCACCTTATTTGGGTCTCCTGGGTGGCTCAGTCAGTTGAGCATCCAACTCTGGGTTTGGGCCCAGGTCGTGATCTCAGGATTGTGGGATCAAGCCTGGGGTCAGGCTCCTCACTCACTCAGCAGGGAGTCTGCTTGAAAGTTTTTCTCCCTTTGCCCCTCTCCCACTCATGCTCCCCCTCTTTAAGTAAAATACAGAAAGCAAAATTAAAAAAAAAAAAAGAAAAAGGAAAAAAGAAAATAGCACCTTTCTTCCATTATATCCCCAGCCCCTCCCACACCAAGCCTATCTGGAGGACCAGCCAAGAATTTCAGGGAAGGGACAGGGAAGCAAGGGCATTTGGATGGAGCCTTGTAGAGAGCTCAATGTCACTGGGGATGTGCAAGCATGTGGCCCGAACCATGCAGATGGAGATGGGGACACTAGGTTCTCTGAATATAGGACTTCATGCTTTAGTATACATTTAGTCTTTGGCAAAAGCCTTGAAACACCAGAAACTGAGAAATACCATGATCTTATAATTTCTCTAACTTCTCATTCGGTGGTAATTCTCAAAGTTCCTCATCCCCAGCTGAGGCTTCTGTTACACAAAACAAAACAAACAAACAAACAAACAACCAAAATTGGCTTTCCTTACGGTTCAACATCAATGGTCTGCTCTCCAGGCCCTGGGGTGACTGTCACGTTGCTGCCATCAATGCTGTCTGAAGCACAAAACCCAGAGGTCAGTGGTCAACAGGAAAAGGAACCGAAGAAACTATAGCCAATGAGCAGTGACCTAAACACTCACAATGGGACCCCCCCTCCCACCCAACCCACGCCAGAATTACTCGCAGTAGTCTCCAAGGAACTTGATGGCATGTGGTGCTAAATGGTTTAGGATTACTCATTTCTCGCAAGGGGCAAGGAGAAGCCATCGCCCCGATTCTGGTCCGCTAAGCTCCTCATTCGTTCCTCTGAAACCATTCTTACTCTAGAAAGAGATACTGGCTCCGAGGCTCTCCATGCTTGATCTTTAGACAACGCGTGCATAAGATGCGGAAGTGGGGTCTTGCAAATAATACCTAATCCTATTTGTCTCTCTGCTTAGTACATGTATTGGCGGCGGGGGGCGGGGGGGGGTGTCTCCGAGGATGATCCGCGGCACCGGCTTATGGACCGCGTGCGCACTTAAACGGTTCCAACTTAGGCCAAAGAGACAGTAATTAACCAGAGCTCCGGGGTCTCCCCGGCTAGACTGGGGATCCCGAGGGTGAGTCTCGCCGGTGTAGTCTAAGTGTTTCGGGCACCTCGCCCAGCGCGGTCCCGGTAGAGACAAGACCCCGCAGAAGTGAGTGCGGTGCAGGAGCCCCGCGTGGGAAGGGAGCCTCCGGGGCGGGGTGGGGCCGGGCGCGTGAGGAGGGCCCGTGGGGACTCACTGGAGCGACACAGCAGCACCCGCGGCGTGGGCGTCAGAGGCGTGAGGGGCAGCTGTGGGTGCGCGCCGGGGCCGTGGCCCGCGATGAGGACGTTGCTGAAGAGCCCCGAGCCCTGGCGCACCGGGCTCAGCATGGGCGGGGGCGTGTAGGGGGGCAGCTCGTGGGCGGGGTCCAGCAGCAGGTGGTCCCCGAGGACGCGGGGGGAGCGCAGCTGGCTCTGGTACAGGGTGGCGCCCGAGTACGAGGAGGCGGCGGCGGAGTTGGCGGTGTAGGAGGGCGGTGGCGGGATGAAGAGCGGCTCCGGCCGGTGCCGGAACTTTTTCTTGTCCGGCAAGCTCTTGAGGGCCTCCTCGGCTTTGGCCACGGCCGGCTGATGCTTCTTGGGGAGTTCCTAGAACGGGAAGAACGGTCTGGTTCGAATCCTCAGGCGTTCCCCACAGGCCACTTCCACAGGCTGAAGGAAGGGGAGCGTCTGTTCTAACGGGGTATTTCCCTCCCCCGACCCCCGCCACCCCCGCCACTTATCTGCTCCCCCCTCCCCCCCGCATCCCTTGCCTCGAAAAACAGCCTCCTCCAGTTCCCACAGGGCGAGTTCGGGGGCTTAACGGGGGTAGAAACCTGGGATTCAGGAGGAAATCCCTCATGTCTGGAGGCGATGGGGATGGTAGGAAAGGTGGGTGGGCAAGAAAGAATAAATTCACATTCTCTATTGCTTAGCACCGCATTCCCATCCGGTGAGTGGAATCCAGCCGAGTAGGCCCTTTAATTCCCCACTGCTCCCAGGGGACAGACATCAGGGGCAGATAACACATGTTCTGAGAAGGGGACAGAATAATCTATTCAGGGAGGCTGGGCTGCGGCTGAGGAGCAGAAGAGGGGGGCCAGTGACCCGCACTGGGCTCTCCTTTGAGGTAACCCTGGAGCTGAGGGACAGCCATCTTTCAGACCTGTTCTGTGTGCTCCCCTAAAACCGGATCCAGCGAAGGCCCCCTCCCCCCACCCCCGCCCCTCACCACCGCTCCCAGGACGGTAGCTCATTTGCAGCAAGCCCCTCTCATGGGTGGCTTCCTGTCAGCAGTGTTAGTTTACTTTATGGCAGCGGACCCAAGCACAGTCTGGAAGGAGGATCTGCCACATGGATACATATATACTAATAAGTAAACATGTGCACATAAATAGATAAGCAGGGCATGCCAAAGCCAAACAGACTTGGGGCGTGTGCCAGCATCAGCCCAGAGAAACCGGCTGGGTGTAGCTGGGTGTGGCTGGGGAGGCCGAGGTGCGGTTGGGAGAGCCCGTGGGGATACCTGCAGAAAGTTCTGGGCAGTCTGTGGTACCCTCCCAGGCCCTGCAGGCCAGTGCCTGTCACAGCTGCAGTTCCTGGCAATTCCTGTGCCCAGGGTGGCACCCGAGTAGGAGGAGCAGGGGGTGATGGGAAGGGCAGGCCATGGTCATGTGACCAGTTGCCTCCAGGCCATGTGACCTGCTCCAGTCTTCCCTTGGCTCTGGGCTCCTGCTGCTGCCCCTCCTGTTTTCTCCCTCAGCTTCCCTGTCTTCTGGGCTGCTGTCCCAACCCCTAGGAGGGAAGTCTAGGGAAGCTGAGGGGTGGGGAAAGGAGAGGGGACACCTCTGTGAGCTGCCAGCTCACCCCCAGGGGGTTCTCCTTAGGCCAGAGTGCCACAACCCGCCTCCTGTCCCCACCAGAGGGCTCCTTACCACCTGAGGCTGAGACAGAAAGAGAGGTCTGAGGAGAATGGGGAGTGGATGTCTCTGCACCCCCAAGCTGGGAAGCAATCCTGAAGCCTTATATCCTGTTCCTGGGTAACTGATGAGGCCATCTGAGCACAGGCTGACCTGGCATGGTTTCAACCCTGTGTGGGCATCCAGACCTCTGATCCCAGGGTCCAGGGTCCCTTTTGGGCTCCCTCTACTTGAGCCTCTGGTCCCTTTTACTCCAGTTCTCAACTCCAGGCAAGACTCTGAGACCTTGGGCCAGCGGATTCACCCAGAATGCCAGGCCTGGATGTCACTTGAGAGGAATCATTTATAGGGTTCTACGTCTACCAAGCTATTCAGACTCTGGAGGTGGGACCACCCATGGAGAGGTTTTAAAAGCTCCCCCCGGGGCAGGGAGAACCACTGAGGAGTCCAAACCCAGGCTTTTTGAGGGGGAGGGTCTCACAGTTGCCTGCGTCCCCAGGGGGCCAGCAGCAGAGTGGGGACTGAAAGCCAGGGCTCCTCCCCAGACATTTTAATTTCTTTAAGTGTCAGGACCTTGCCTGTATTTTCCCAATCCCAGCTACATGCTTCTAGTTCAGCTTATCTCCTTACTACAATGTCTCTCTCACCTTTTCCACAAAGCCAGCTTCATCCCTGCCTTTAAAACCCTGCTCAGAACTGTGCTCATGGTGGTCTTCTGACCAAATTCTTGCCAAACTCCCTGTGTCTCCCCAGTCCTTAGTTACTTTAGCTGCCCAGGGGTGCCCCCCTATGGGGGACTACTGTTTCTTCTGTGCCCTGGTTTCCCTCCCAGTCTTAAACTGGGGCAGGGGGTGCTGCCTGGGGCTTAGACCCCTGTGTGACTAGGAACAATACGGTCTCCAGCTTCAAGCTGAGAATTCTCTAGGGGTAGAAACAGTGGGTCTCCCACTAAATCAGGGACTTCTCTGGGCAAAGAGGGAGCTTGGCTCTGTCATTTCATCTCTCTGCTTATTACTGGCCCCCAAGTCCTGCTGACTTATGAGAATTGTGTTCACTCCCAGAGGTTCCCCCTCCGCCTCTCCTCTTCTGAGGCCTTGATATTACATAGAGAACCAAGAAGGTTCTTTCTGGACTTTTCTAGTTCTCTTAATTTTCCACCCTACCTCTGTTTTGGCCCAACCCCACCCTCATACCACCTGGAATCCCAGCAGCCACTTATTCTTCGAGGACAAATGTGACCCAGCACACCACTTCGTGGAATGGGAACAAATCCAATGTAGTCAACTGCATGGGTTACAGACTCCCCAGGGGAGGGAAGGAGGGAAGAGGGAGGAAGACAGAAAAAGAAGGAGAGAGGGAGACAGGAAGGGAGGGGGGGAGAGAGAGGGAGAGAGAGAGGGAGAGAGAGAGATCTCTGTCCCAGAGCCAAGCTAAGCTGCTTGGGTGAAGCAGAAGAATTTGAGAAGAAGGAGGAGAACGTAAGAGTGAGTGAGAAACACGAATCTCTTTGCTTTCCTGAGACTGGGGGCTGGGTGTCTCTCAGTGGAATTACTTTGGGAACCGTAGCGAATTAGGTCCTCTAAGGCTAATGATGCAGGTGGGATACCGAAAATATGAAGCATCCGCTGAGGCTGACCACCAGAACGGATGCAGGGCTATCCCACGGAGGCTTGCTGTGCCAGGGGTTCCCTCTGGATTTGAGGAGGTCTGGAGATCCTGCAGGGGGGTCAGGGCCCCGGGCAATAGCTCTTTATTACCTGAGATAGTACTTCCATGTTTTAATAGCTGTGTGATTACCAGCTGAGTTATCAGCTTTGTTTTTACCTTGGAATAGCTTCAGCTCTCTCAGAATCTAATCCAGACCATTAGGCTGGTAGAGGTGGTCACTGGGTAGCAAGCAGTGTGGACAAGGATGGGATTCCCAAGGCAGCCAGGGTGGGGGGCTCAAACTGAGAGGCCAAGCCATGTCTGAGAGCTCAGGTCAGTGACCCCGGAAGAGCTGCCCCATCTCCAAGAAAGCAAAGGGATGTTCCCACCCCAGGTGGGCGGGAGCAGTGCAGCAACTCACAGCAGGCGGGTGGGGGGCAGCCCCTTGGGGTGAGTGTGGGGGAGAGAGGGTCATCCTCACGAGCACGGGCATCTCGTCGTCCGACATCGAGCTGGCTGGCTTGTCTCTGGTGGAGGGGGCGGCAACGATGCTGTTGGCGAAGCCCTGAGAGCCTGGCTTGGGTGGGAGAAGCTTGACAGGGACAGACACGGGCATGACCATAGGCGTGAGGCTTTCTGCCTCGGGAGGGAGCTGCGGTGGCGGCGGAGGCGGAGGTGGCAGTGGCGGCTGGGGCTGAGGCTGAGGCGGCAGGGCCTTCTCTCCTTCCTCCTACACAGACAATAAAGGCTTTGATCCTGGGCTAAGAGCAGCCTTCCCAAAGTGGGGATGCACTCTGCTCTTCCTGAAATGTTGCAGGACATCATGCGTGGGTGATAGAGAACCACGGCAGGGTGGTTTCCTTCCTGCAACCCTGAGTCCCTTGGCTTTAGTGAGGCCAGTTGGCAGTGGACAAGGCCATGCACTCTATTTTCTATGTTAAGCGAAGCTCCTCGACCATTATCACTTGTATAATTAAAACATATTAAAATTTTGTTGTTGTCATTGCTTTTAAAGAAAAGGATGTTGACTGGGAATTAGGCACAAACAAAACAGAACACATAAGCTCTTGTGTAGGATCTCTTAATTCTACGGGTCTCAGTTTACTCATCTGTCCAATGGAAGACAAATCTCTTTTATCTGGAATGGTCAGGAGATGGAGTGAGCCGGGATATCCAGGCTTTTGGCAAACAGAGAGTTAATCCCATAGACTTAAATTTAGATCAACAATATCTAAAGAATTTGAGAAATTCTTTGAATTCTAATCTTACTCTAAAACTGCATGGGTAGTTCACCACATGGATATCCTTCCTCCCTGGATAATCCCGAGGGTAATTAAAGACCTTTTTTTGCTAGAATCGAACACTGAGTAGAAAGTGCTGGCTGAGAGCCCGATGGTCACGTTAGCTTTCCTTGGCCATCGGCTACTACGCCGGAAGGCCCAAGAGACTGGTCTTAGGTGCTTTAAGCAACAGAAATTAAAAATAATATTGCCTCGGGGGTGCCTGGGTGGCTCAGTGGGTTAAAGCCTCTGCCTTCGGCTCAGGTCATGATCCCAGGGTCCTGGGATCGAGCCCCACATCGGGCTCTCTGCTCCTTGGAGAGCCTGCTTCCTCCTCTCTCTCTCCGCCTGCCTCTCTGCCTACTTGTGATCTCTGTCTGTCAAATAAATAAATAAAATCTTTAAAAAAAAATAATATTGCCTCTATGTGTTTTCTTTGCTGTCTTTTTCAGAAAGTGGAGAGACTCGGATCCCTCAAGAATTTATTCTAGCCCCTCTGTTTTTGACCCTTGTTCACGAAACCAGTGGAAGTGGGGGTCTGTTTGACCTGGCTGGCTCCTAGTGGCAAAGCTTTAAGGGAAGGACAGTGCCTTCCTGGGTGCCCACCTGGGGGGTCCCATCACTCTCTGATGGCAGCAAAGCAAAGCAAGCAACACATGGCCTGGGAAGGGCTGGGCGCTGGCTCCTGCTAACCTGTTTGAGGCTGGGGGAGGCTCTCATTCCCCCATGGGACCGCATGTGGCCGTTCAGGGCAGGTAGGCTCTTGAATTCCTTCAGGCAGATGGAGCATGTCAATTTGTTCTTGGCATCAAACTGCTCCCCAAACACTCCTTTTGGTTGGCCACTGCTCAAGGGTAGGGCCAAATGAGAGGACACACATGTTGACAAAGAGGAAGGGTGACTTATCACAAGACCTCACACCCCACAGTGAACCCATTACATTCATTCAGTGCTCCCATGGCCCCACTTGTATTATCCCAATACCCTTCAGAGAACTAAGCCCACTTTACAGGTGGAAAACTGAGGCTCAAGAGTGGGAAAAGGCTTACTCAAAATCATGCGGGAGTTGAATAAAATATCCTTCATTCTAAGCCATCAAGTGCTAGGTTTTTTTCACCTCTGGCCTGTTATCTTTCTAGAGTCAGCTCAGGTGGCCTCTTCCAGAAGCATTCCCTTAGAGACACGTGTCTAAGTCCCCTGGCTTAACCTCCAGACCACATGTCTTAGCATTTTGTCAGGTTCTGGCTAAGAATTTACCATGCCCATGATGGGGGAAAACAAGTCTGTACTATTTACTGTTGCATTCTCCAAGCTTAGCTCTATGCCTGGCACACAGTAGGTACCCAGTGAATATTGACTGACTGAACAGGGGAGAGAATGTGGCCTCAGGACTCAATTCCAGTATTGCCACTTACTTGATGTACAATTCCAAGTTCTCTGTGCCTGTTTTCTCATTTGTAAAGCAATTGGAATAAAACCAAGAATGATTGAGCACTTACTACATGCTAGGCACATGGTAGTCCTACCCACCCCTACCGGGTTGCTTTATTACACAAAATATAGAGTGCCTAGTACACAGTCAATTCTCAAATACAATAGCTGCTATTATTATTATAAACTTCTTCGGAAAACTGACTTTGAATTTGAAAATGAGTCTGGAGAGACAACCTAGGAAAACCTCCTACTCTCCCCAAATGCCAACATGCCTTCTTGCATCCATCCTACCTTGACTCCGGGGACCCTGGCTGGGCTCTGCCATCAGGTAGGTGCATCTAATTTAATCCATGCAGGACACGGGAAGAAAGAAAGAAAGAGAAAAAAAGTGTATTTCTACCAGGAGAAATCTTTGAGCTAAGGGAACCCCAGGGCCTGCGCTTTCTAGAATACTTCCTCAAGCTCACAGCGGCCAGCAGTTCATGTCCAGATGCTGGGTGCACCTGACACTTCTTTCCCTGGCTTCCTCCAGCCCCCCAACCTGGTAACACACCCACTCCAGGAGTTGCCACCAGCCCCCAGCCCCCCAGGACTCAATCCCCTGCCTCAATCCTCCCTTTTCTCCCTGTCCACCACTGTGTGCACAGACAGGCTTCATTTCCAAAAGACATAGAACAGAGAGCCGGACGACACAGCAGCATGCCCAGAGACCTCCTGCTCGTCTTGTCAGCACTGGCCATGTCACCTTACTCTTATATTCATAACGGCTCTCCATTACCACTGGGCCTGGGTTTCAAGCAAGACAGAGTCAAGAGAAGCTCATCTCCAGCCTCCATCAGAGCCCTCTCTCTATCTATCCTGGCCTCTTTCTCCCCTGAGTCTGTTGTCACGTGACTGTAGCACCTGGAACGTGCCAAGGCATCGACAGTATACCCAGCGCACAGGAGGCTGTTTTGTGGCAACTACATTTGGGAAACAATCAAGGGTTAACAACCTTGGCCCAGAGCCTTGCAGACACCATCAGATGGTGCATTTGTGCTCTAGGCCACCACAGCGGGCACCACTCCCCATTATCTCCTAACAAGCCACTTTGCTTACTCCCTTTACCTGCCCGGATCCTGAGGGCAGCTAGGATTCTCATCTCTGAAGCTAGCGGGGATATCCCCTCTGGGAGATTCCCAGTGCTCATTAGCATATTAACGGCTCTGAGAAGCCCCTCAGCATTGCAACCTGATTCATTGTAGGAGCCCCTCAGGTGTATTGATCTGGAGAACCCGTCCCCCTCAGCCATTCCTATTAAACATTCTATGGTCTTCCTGGTCTGAGCAATATATTAGGAGAAATGCTGTCATAATGCTGTCATAATGTGGTCTCCTTCCCAAAGAGGGAACAATTTCACAGGAATTCCCCGAGGATTCAGAACTAAGGGGACCAGACGCCTTCCCTGTGTGGTCCCTGGGCCCAACTGAGGCCTTGACCGCTACATGCATCATTCAGGCCCTTAGACGGTACTGGCCCCCTCTGCAGCAAGCTCAAGCTTAGCGGGCACAGGGCTGAGTCGAAATTGATTCTGTGTTCCCCGTGCCTGGCACAGACAGCGTCTGGCATGTGTGAGTTAACGTTCGCGGCATGAACAGAGAACAAAAGCCCGGGAGGGGCTGGCGAGAGGGCTGGGTGCTGCCTAGACTCGGCTCTGGCCAGAGCAGCGGCACACTGAGGGACCCGGAGACGCTCCCGCTCTGAGAATACCTGGGGCCACAGGGCACTGGGAGAGAGCTGCTGGTGCTGAGGCCCCATGTTGTTGAGGTGGATCCCGCCGGGGGATAGCAGCGGCCGGTGGGGGAGGGCCCCGCCGAGCCGGTTCAGGTCCGAGCTTGCCGGGTCTCCCATTCCTGCGTCGGGAGGCCCCAGGTCGCCGTGGGAGCTCAGCACGGCCTGGGCCTGCCTGTCGCTCGGGTACGTCTTGGGCTGACCGTCCTCGCGCTGCTGGTGCTGGGGCAGGTGGCTCTGCTGGCAGACGTGGTGGCCGTAGGGCTGCTGGGGCTCCTGGTAGTAGTACTGGGGCACGGAGCCCAGCTGGATCAGCTGGACGGCGTGCGCCTGCTCCGGGCCGTACTGGTGGGCGTCCCTGTGGTAAGAGGGGGGCTGCAGGTGCATCTGCGGCGGCTGTTGCTGCGGCTGTTCTTGCAAGTGCTGCATCACGGGCTGGGGCTGGTAATACTGAGGTATCTGCATCGGACCCTGCCGCTGCTGCAGCTGCAGCTGCTGTTGCTGCTGTTGCTGTGGCTGCTGCGGCTGCTGCGGGCGGCTCTGCTGCTGCTGCTGCTGCTGCATTTCCTGCAGGGATAGAGGCTGCTGCCCTGCCTGCTGCGGCTGCGGCGGGTAATACTGCTGCTGCTGCATCTGCTGCATGTGCTGGGACAGCATCGGGGGGGCCTGCAGCGGCTGTCCTCCCTGCACCGGCATCTGGGCCAGCGGCTGCTGGTACTCATAGTACAGGTGCCCCTGGCCAGCGTGCGGCCCCACCTGCAGGGCTGGTTTGGACAGGCTGCCAGGGAAAGCAGGGTGAGCCTGCTGGGGCACCTGCTGGTAGCGAGCAGGAAGAGCCGGCGCTGGGGACTCCATGGGCTTCTGGGACAACAACTGGCGGAGGGCACTGTCAGGGGCCCCGTCCATCACTGCCGACTGCGTGTGCAGCACCTGGGCCATATTGTTGACCTGAATTCGCAGGTTTTGGTTGGCGAACACCTGGGTGAAGGAGTCTAGCTTATGCAGGACACCGCTGGTGAGTTTCTGGGTGCGGATCTCGCTGGCCTGGGAGTAGGTATACTGGTAGCCATCGGCGGACTCAGGCTGGGCCGGGGTCCCCCACATCACGTTTGAGTTGGTCAGGTTGCTGCGTAGCTGGACGTGGTTGCCAGGCCCAGTGTGACCTCCCCACCCTCCCTGCCTCGAGGTATCCACTTGGCCCAGGTTTTTGGAACCAACAGGCAAGCCTAGACCATCCCGAGTATCTTGAGGGAAGTGGGGGGAGAGAGGCGACGCCTGGGGGCCCTCCAATCCAGCCCCTGTGACTGTATTCCCATAGTTGTGGTTCAGCCCACCATGGATGCCAAGCGGTGGCTGTTGGTAGAAAAGGTTCTCACCACCGTGGGCCACGTGATTGGTCTTGTAGAGTTGCTGATCCCCCATGGCGCCTGCCTTGGCTGGGAACGTCCAGCCACAAAACCATAAAAAAAGGTCAATGAAACAAAACCCAAAAGGACTGAAACCCTGAGAAGCTGAGAGAAGGTGTCCACACTATTCCACGGCTGACATGTCTGTGAAAGTGGCTGCAGCCAGATGTTCCTGTGGGCCTGTACCACTCATGTGCAGGGAGGGGGGCTTGACATCGTCACGGGGGCTGAGGTACGGACCGAACACCACCGTGGGGCAGAGATGTCGTGCACACCTGTAAGACAAGGTACAAAAGCACAGGACCGGATTTACTCGGATGCTCCACACGAACAAGGACATCTACCCCAACCAATCAGAATTTAATACAAAACAGAAGACTTGATTCAAAATAGCCTGTTTCATACACTGCCCACCCTTTACACTGATACTGCCCCTATGGGCCCTCGTGGGAGACAGAACTCTCTTACTTTCCAGCCTTTGTTCATGGCTCATTAGTTCATTGATTTGTTAATTCATTGTTTTTTGCTCCTGATTAATTCTTTGGAGGCTCGACACTATTCTAGGACCTGCAGGGGATGCAAAGAAGGTTAAGGCATTCATTTATCAACTTTTCTGCTCAACACATACTTAACTAGACACCTACTAAGCATAAGGCACAATGCCAGGGAATGACTGCAACATGGGCCAGCTCTTGAGGTGTTTATGGTGGAAGGAACGTTTAAGGAGGAAGGATGCACATAATAAAAAGGTAAAATAACAGATATGGGAACTCAGACTGGAGAGCTTATGCCGGATAAGAACAGAACTGGAGAAAGTGTCAAGGAGGAGTACGGCACATATTAGTTTCCCTGTCCAGTCAACAAGGTTCCCTGCTTTCTGAGGTCCCCACTCAGGGAAACATCTCCGCACAGGGTTGACCTGGCACGAAAAACCATACCAGGACAAGTCTTAGAACCATGAACTAGGCCATCTGGGGAGACAGGTTTAGTCTGGTTTGAGTCAGATACTTTTTTAAGGGGACTTCTAACTGGGGTCTGTAAACCCCCGGGAGTACATGAAGACTTTCCAAGCACTACACACATGCACTCCAAGTTTTAAGAGAAACTCCTTCTTCCTCTGAATCCCGACAGCCTCAAACTTCCATAGAAGCTATTTTCTAGAACTGAATAGTGATGAAGGTGCAAGTTGACATTTTATTTATTTTTTTATTTTTTTAAAGATTTTATTTATTTATTTGAGAGAGAGACAGTGAGAGAGAGCACGAGCAAGGAGAAGGTCAGAGAGAGAAGCAGACTCCCGTGGAGCCGGGAGCCCGATGTGGGACTCGATCCCGGGACTCCAGGATCAAGACCTGAGCCGAAGGCAGTCGTCCAACCAACTGAGCCACCCAGGCGTCCCGCAAGTTGACATTTTAAATTTGCACTCTCACAACTGTCCTCCTCCTCTACAAAGGAAAGACAGACCTTTTACTCACCTTGTCTCAAATCTTTTTTTTTTTTAAAGCTAAGCTCTTTAATTCATACATGCTCCGAGAAATCAATAAGAAAACGTCACTATCCCAATAGAAAATATGAAAACAATATGGAAAGATTTTTCAAATAAAAGAGAAAGAATTCCTAAACACATGGAAATTCAGCCAAACTTGTTCATAATAATCTAGGTATTAAAAGGTCTCTGAGTTACCAATCAGATTCACCTGACAGATTGAAAATACACCCAATAGTTTGATAACGCACCTTTTTATCAGAGTACTAGGGAAACTGGCACTCACAATGTTGGTAAGAATATAAATTGACATAATCCTGAAGAGCACAATTCGTTAATAGCTATCAAAAGTCAAATATTAACATTAAAATTCAAATGTATTCAACATTCTTCAATCAAGGAATTTCATTTTGGAGGATTTATTTAATAGGTGTGACCTCATCCCAAATCTGAACAGGGCTTATTACCCAGTAAAACCCCCCTGGCCACCATATGAAAGGACATCTAGAAAACAAGCAATTCTAATAAATGAGTAGTGTATCTCCTTTGACGCTGGGTGGTTTCCAATTCTTTTTTTTTCCCCCTTAGGAAAACCTAATAAAAGTAATTAAAGTCTAATTGTTAGTGATAGATCACTATGTGATTTTCGGTATAGAACTCAGAAGCAGATCAAGAATTGAGTGATCCTGTTTTAACAAAACTTCCATCCATTCACGCGAATGAGGATATACAGTGCTTACATACATATGAATGAAAAACAGAAATGCAATCAGTGTTGGCACCTGTCTCATATCTCCTACCAAGCGTAATATTCTTCCAAGGATTTAAAAACAAACTGAACAAATAACCCAAAGCCAGCAATATTCTATTTCTGGACATGGTGATAACTGTACGAGTGCGCTCACTCGGCTAATTCAAGCTGTAGTCTCTGGTCATATATAGGCATGTCTGTTGTAAATCAATAAAAAGATTTGTTTTAAAAAGTCATCCAGCATTACCATCCCACCAAGAGATGCATCTTCAATGTAATTTTAGGTTTTATGTTTATTAATTATTTATCCAAATTAGCAATACATTTATGTTATTTTGATTAATTGTCTCCTATCAGTAATTGTTATCAATAACTCAAACAAGAAAATGTCAATACTTAGAGCTTTATGATTTCAGGAAATTAAAGAGGTTTTAATTTCATATAAAATTGTTATGGAGAAACATGATAGGGAAACAAACGAGAGAGTTTTAAGCATAAGATGGATTACATATATTCCATTAGGATAAAATTCCACAGGGCAAGTGAACAGAAATAAAATTTCAAGAAGAAAAAGGAATACTGACTATTAGTGAAGAGGATGTTCGTGCATTTTAAAAATGGATGATGGGGGATATTGAATGTCTATGGTGCTTGGATTCCAGTGGATAAATTTAAAACAGTGATGTCATAGTTTTACTTAAAAATATCAATGTTGGTTATATACTAGAACTTGCATCTTCTGCAAATGTATGATAAAAAATGTAGAGGTAAACTTGAAAATATGTGAGTGGGTCATTATATTTACCATATCCTTTTACGGGGGCTTTTAAGCCACAAAGTGTGGAGACCATTATAGTAGCCCCCTCCAACCGGGAGCTAGTCTGAGTTGGTCTCTGTCCTTTCTGCATGATAGAGAGGGACAAATTCAGAGCAAGGGATTTGGTTTGGTTTGGTTTGGTAGAATGAAGGGTGGATGAAGGGAAGCAATGGGAGGAAACCATGGTGGCTAAGGAGAACTGGAGCAGATCCTGAATATAACCGTGAATGGCTGCTGAAGGCCTCCCAGCAGTGGCACGAGGATGCTGGGCTGGATGGCCCTGAGCTTCAGAAGCAGGGTGAGACCCGATCCCCTCATTGAAAAGGCGGTCCGTATCACCTGAGAGCTTGTTAGAAATTCAGATTCTCAGGCTTCAGCCCCCATCTACTGAAACATCATCTGCATTTTATCAAGACCCCCCAGTGATTCACGTCCATATTAAAATTTGAGAATTTTAGTAGGCTCTTGCTGCATCCAGGTGAGACCTAATGAAGACCTGAACTTGGATGATGGTAAGCAGAACCAAGGGAGAAACAAGAGAAACAGCCCCTGTGGTACCAGTGGGAAGTGAGTCTCCTTCAGGGGCTTATGACCCAGTCTGAAGAGACACCCCTTCTTTCCTCGTACAAGCTCTCCTCCTTGACATCCCTATTCACCACTATACCTTGCCGACTCCCAGTCATTACTCCCAGCCCAGAGGGTCTGCCTACTCCAGCTGCCTATCCCAAATTCCACTTCCATGTTCAAAGGCAAAGGCGACATCATGTTCCCCAGAATGGATGCTCCTCTAAACTCTTGCCCTCAACTCCTCTCTCTTAACCAGCCCCACAACCTATCCATTTCCCTCCTCATGTTTTCTTAACTGCATCCATTTTCCCTGTTCCACTACTATCACCTTAATCCAAGACACCTCATTTGTCTTCCAGACCATCCCGATAGCCTTCCAACTCATCTCCCTTCTTTTGGTCTTGTCTATGCTCCAGACAGCAGCAGCACAATGAACTTTTCAAATATAACTCCGATCCCATCACTGTTCAAAATTCTTTGATGTTATTTTAGTGCTCCCAGGTTAAAAATTAAAATCATGAACAAGGCCAATTTGGCACAGCAGTCTGTCCCAGTCTGGTGATGTATCTCTCTTTCCTTTGTTCTCTACCCCCTTCCCATCCCACCACCCCAAGCCATTCTGGTCTTCTCTCAGTTTCTTGAAGCTGCCACACTGTCACCCGCCACAGGACCTTTGCACATGCTGGTGTGTCCCCACACCCCTAATTTGGGAAGTTGTTCCTCTTCCTATACTCTCTTCATCTAGTGACGTCCTGGGCATCCTTCATTCAGATGTGAACTCAGACTGTATTTCTCAAGGAAGTCTATCCTGATCCCAACCACAAGTAAACATCAAGGTCATTTCTTACACATTACTTTCTTTCAAACCACTCTTCTTAGTCCATAATTGTACTTCCACCAGCACCACTATTTAATTAATGGATTTCTCTTTATTAGAGCTGGGGCCATGTCCATTTTTGCCTCTGATCCTATTCCCAAAGCCTACCACAATGCCCAGCATATCGTAGGCCCTCCAGTAAGGATTTGTTGAAGGAGGAGTAATATTTGTTGAATTAATGAACTGATGAATGAAAAAAAAAAAAGAACAATGATCAAGTGTCCCGCTGAATTGGTATCAGCAGAAAAAGATGCTCAGTGTAGGGGGAATGAATGTTAAGCTCTTATGGAGAACAGTCAGATTTACCTGGGTGTTGATGGACCAATAGGGTTTATATAGAGATGAGAGGACCAGGAAGGGTATTCTGGCTGAGGAAATAGTGTGTATAAAAGCATGGAGTCGGGGGCAGGTGTCCAAGTCAGGAACTCACTGATGATCAGACTGAACTTGTAAGGCAGGGATAAACTGTGGGGGCTTTAAAATGACCTCTAGCATTGTTATCCTGCTGGCATTAGGCCTGGTGGAAACACTGCCCTGCCTAGCTTAAACCTCACCATCTAACTTTCCTCAAAAGGCTTTGCACCTCGTTACCTCCCACAGGAAGAATTACTTATCGGAACTCACCAGATTCTGACCATGACCTGATTTCATGTTCCTCCACCGTGCCCCTGTGGGTGGAATGGAAGCTAGATACTTTTACTTCTGTTGAAGTGTCCGCTTTGTGTTCTCAGCTACAGAAATCTATTCTTTATTCTCTAATATTTTCAGAACTGGAAA